CAGAGAGGCCCCTGGATCTCATCCAGCCCACTCGTTTTCCCCTTCCAGTGCAGTGACACTCCGGTGCCCGTTGGCAGATGGCGACTTCTCTGCACCCATAACTGATGCTTTGGGAATTCTTCCTCCTTTTCAGAACTACTCTGTGCTAATTGTTCCTGACTGCCAGTATGGGCGCGTCAGCTCCATCCTAACAAACAAGATGTTTAGGTAAAACTGTGTAGGCACCTTCTGCTTCTCTGCTTCATCGTTCCTGTGATAGTCGTGTTGTTATTACAGCATGTACCCAAAACAGCCTCACATTGTTACAGGAGGCAGGCTAGGGCATCAAGTCACCATCTTTATGTGGCTTGAGTCAAGCCACATTACTGTACCTCATGGCCTCTTGATGTGGAAAGAAGTTGACAAAAGGTTGCAGGGTTTAAAACATACATTAACATGAAAGCTAATAAACCTGTCAGAGAACAAGATCTTGTTTTTCCTCTACTGAATATTGTGCTTCCAACTCTCCCTGTGTCTCTCAGCTAGATTATGTGGAGAAGGTTGAGTGAGACTCCAGACTGTCACTTATCTTCTGGTGTCTCAGGAGAGACTGAGAATCACTGGTGATGGTTGCATCATATTCCATTGTACCCATTAGCACAGAGCTCTGGAACTGAAACAGAGCTTCTGTAGAAACCACAGCTAACAAGCAGCATCTGATCTGACCAACAGAGGAAGCAGCCTTGGAAAGTATCTAGTGTAGACTTGAAGTTCAAACCCAAAGGAGAATAGAATAAACAGGGCTGGAAGGAACACTGCTTTAAACCGTAAAGTGTAGTACTCCTGCCTTAATAGTTGGGATTTTATAATTGGGTAATTATGGGACAAAAACGAAGTTTGGCATGGGTTTCTTTAAGCTCGCTTACTTTGTCCTGAGTGGTTGGATTCTTATAATTCTCCAACCATGTGAGGGAGAAAGCTAATAGGAATCCTACTGCCCCCTCTATTTGGGGAGGATTATCTAGCTTGTGTCACCTAACTGGGTGGAGAAAGTGAGTGTGATATTCAAAGCATCTATTTTTCCATCTGTAAAAACCAGGGAAGCTGATGTGACTAGACCCAAAAAGGTGGCTGGCTACCTACTTGTGTATGTCTTCCCTGAATCTAAGGATGCAAGAGACTGAGAGCTGGCTCCCCAAATTCAGAGGGGTGGGGTGGGGGGTGGCTTCAGCTTTTTTCAGGATCATTCTATACTGGGAGTCGGGAGCACCTAAGTCGGGTGACTTAGTGCCAGGCATCCTCATTTCTTTCACTCTAGCTCCTGAGTTCTTCCTGTCTGGCCACCTCCTTCCCACCCAAGAGAGGAGCTTCATTTGCCTAAGCCCTTCCCCGCTGTTTCTGCTGCGCCTCTCTGGGAACTCAGCCTAGTTCCACCATAGTGGTTATGAGTTAGGAGCCAGCTGTGACTAGCTGTGTCACTGGGGAAGGTTAGTGTGACCTCTCTGGACCTCACTTTCCTCCTTGGTAAATAGGAATAACACCACTAACTTCCTAGGGAGTTAGAGATAACCTAGATTAGGTGCTAGGTGTGCGGTATCTGACACACAGTGTTTAGTAACTGGTGACCACCCTCAGTGCTGTTACCATCAGTCCTCCCTTGTTTCTGGGTGGCGTAGCCAGAGCTTCCATTAGTGGTGATTTATGCAGGTTGATCCATTCCACTGGCATTCCTCAGTTGCAGCTAGAACACTGGCATGGGCGAAGGGTCAGATCTGGTCGTCGAAGCTCCAACCACCAGCTTTTGCTGTATGCTTCCCTTTTGGCTAAATGTTAATTGCTTAGGCACACCCGGTTCCTTGGCGCAGTTGTCCTAGCCGTGGGTATATGGCTCAGCTGTCATCTTCGGCCCTTCCAGAAAAACAGCTCCGTGGTGGTGCAGATTATTTGGACTTGGGTATTTTCTTGGTTTTCTGGCATGCCTGGCCCACTTACGCGTCGCAGGATGGAATGCAAGTTCTGCTCAGTGGGAGGCTAGGATCTTGGCAATGCTTTTGTAGTTACAGGTTGAACACAGAAACCAGTCACACATTTGTGCTTTAGTGACACTGGCAAGGGCTGACATTTTGCTCCCTTACCTGCTGGAGCAGCGGTTCGGAGAGAGAGGGAGCCTCACGGTGGTAACATGGCCCCAGCATCAGAGCTTTGCAGAGGGGAGAGGCAGAAAAACCCTGAGGGACAGCCATTCACCTGTGCTTTATACTGCAAGCTGGTCTTCCATTACTATTTTAGTAATAGTCATGCACATCATTGCTTGTGTTGGTTTCTTTCATTCAGTGTATACTGAGAGCTTGCTATGTATGTGCCAGGGTGTTTGGGGCATTTGTGCGTTATTTTTGTGGACTGTAGTGTCTTTCATTCTGGGGGAAAAAACGTCCTGTGAAGCAGCCCTTCTCTATATTTTACAGGAAATCAGAATTCCTAGGGGCTCAATGGCTTGTCTGAGGTTGCATAGCTAAGTGACAGAACCAGAATTTTCATTTGAACTTTTAAGTCTAGTTTTCTTTGGTTTCAGTGAAACTTCTAAACAAATGCCAGTGCCCAGGCCTCCATGGAGGGGATTCAAGGGTAAAGGAATCTTTCTGGCTCAGTTTCCAAGCACTTTTCAGCCTCCCATCCATGTGCAGGAACCAAGTAGCAGCACCAAAGCTTGGAATTTTACAAAAGTGATTTGGGGCCAGGCGCCATGGCTCATGTCTGTAATCCTAGCACTTTGGGAGGCGGGTGGATCACTTGAGGTCAGGAGTTCAAGAACAGCCTGACAAACATGGTGAAACTACATCTCTACTAAAAATACAAAAATTAGTTGGGCAAGGTGGCGTGCGCCTGTAGTCCCAACTACTTGGGAGGCTGAGGCAGGAGAATCACTTGAACCCAGGAGGCGGAGGCTGCAGTGAGCTGAGATTGTGCCACTGCACTCCAGCCTGGGTGACAGAGTGAGACTCTGTCTCAAAAATAAAAAAATAAAAAGTGATTTGGTTGGCCTTGTCAAGAGTTTAGATAAACTGTTAGACAAGTTTGTGAACTGAAGCCAGCCAGGAGTAAAGGGCCTGCTTGACTTACCCACCCACTGTTAGGCAGAGAAGGGGCAGACAGAGAGCAGAGATGGCTGGATCTGCCCCCATGTGAAGCCTGGATGTGGGGACTACAGCCACCACACCTGAGGAAGTGACCTGAGAGTGGGAGCATGTGGGACAGACCCCCACTGCAAGGCCGGGTCTCATGTGGCCCAGTGGATGGCAGTCTCCCTAGTTTCACCAAGTTTGTAAGCCGCTCCCATGGGAAGGTGTAAGGGAGGGGTGGGATTCCACCCATGTTGCCAGCCTGGGGGCCAGTGCAGTGTGGTTTTCCGAAGGACAGTCTGCAAATCAGGGCTCTGTGCAATCCTGCGGCCCTCTTGAGAGAAGTGTCCCTAACAGATCCTTCAGCTGATTCTTGGTGTCCACAGAATCGGCAGGGGCACCAGAAGCTTAGGATGAAGGTATCCCTTACTCGCTCCTGCCAGAAAAATTCTGGCTGGAGCTCACCAGGCACTAAGAGATGGGAATCTACCTGCTGTGGTGCCCAATCCTAGCAGGCCCCAGTAAGAATTACTGAGCAGAAGAGTAGATGGGGACAAGCGACTTCCCAATGTCAGTGGCACAGAGTGACTAATTCATTAGCAGCTTGAGCAGAAGAACCCCATCCAGAGCCAAGGGAAGGCATTCAGTGCAGTGGAGCAAGTGAGGGCCATGAGGCAGCCAGACTTGGGTATGAGGCCTGGCTCTGCCTCTAGTAGACTTGATTTGCTTCTCTGCTTGTCTCCTCATCTCTGAAATGGTCACTGTCAGGAGCTATCTTAAGGGTTCACCAAGATAGTGCTTGCAGCCTGGGCAACATGGTGAAACTCCATGTCTACAAAAGTTAGCTGGGCGTGGTGGTGCATGCCTGTGTTCCAGCTACTCGGGAAGCTGACGTGGGAGCACTGCTTGAGCCCACAAGGTTGAAGCTGCAGTGAGCCGAGATCACACCACTGCACTCCAGCCTGGGTGGGACAGAGTGAGACCCTGTCTCAAAAAAGAAAAAGTGCCTGCAAAACACTGAACATGGAACTGGAATCAGTGCTTAACAGGAGGGTTAGCTGTTACTGATTACATGGAAGCCCATGTCCAAGGGGCTACCTGGAGCTCCAAGCGGGAGTCAAGTGGCTAAAAGAGAAGATGTATGTGGAATAAAGGAGGGACCTAGGACGGGGGCTGAACTTTCAGAGAGGGGTCCTCTGACTGGTTTCATAAAACTGGGCCTGAGCCTAGAGAGGGGGATGCAGAAGAAATAACAGGGTCAGAAGCAGCCCCATTTGGGGTCCTGAAGCCAGAGAGGCTTTCACAGACCTCCAGTGGCCGACCCAAACACCCGGGAGACCCAAGGAGGAGCAGATGGGTGACTGGGACTGCTGTCCACTTGTGGGGCAGGGATATGTGGTATTGGCTGCACCTGAGTGCAACCAACCAGAAACTGGTGTGGGCCTGCACATTCGTTCTATTCATCCACAAATATTTATTGAGTTTGTACAATGTGCCAGGTTCTGTGCCAGTTTAACAGGTTATCACTGTTAACTGGCAGCGATTTAACAGCTTATCATCTGGAATGCATGTCCCCATGCAGAGGGGACTACACCAACTTAGCAGACTTGCAGGGTGGATTTTCATCTTCCATTTCCTTTCTCAGATCAGTGAGCCCGTCAGGTCCCTGCTGAGGAAGGAGCTGACGCAGGGATGTCTGAAACTTGTTTATTACCCTGAGTATATAACAAATAGAACACAGTCACAGTATTAAAAAAGACAGCAGGAATTAATTAGGTGCAGGCTACGACACGAAGTATGCACCAAGGACACGTTCCTTTCATCAGAGTCTGCATATAGTTACTTGGAAAAAGCCAGTTATGATTGTAAAAATTTTATTCTCAATAACAATAATAATTCCACTAAAATTATACAAAGTACATTCAATACTTAAGAATGGCAAAGGTGGGGAGAGGAGGAGAGGAAGCCAGTTTGGCCTGGAAGCATCAACAGTTGACTCCAACAAAGGAAGCCCAGCTGGGCTGAAGGAAGTTGGGGGTGGAGGTCCGGTTGTAAAAAATAAAAATGTGGATCGGTAAAAAAAGGCCACCCACAAGGAAGCAGGGTGAGCGTGCATGTTCCTGGGGGAGGGCGGGAGGCTCAGCCGACATGCTGCTGCTGGGCACTGGAGCTCAGGCGGGCTCCGAGTTGGTGGGGGGCAGGTTTTTATGCTTGAAATACTGCACAACTTGTTGGGGCAGCTCCGCCAGCACAGCTTTGGCCAAGGTCTCTTTTGCTGCCTGCAGGGTGAACGAGGGTAGGGTGGGGAAGAGAGAGAATGAGGATTAATGACCGGAAGTTGTGAGCGGCACTATGCCCAGAGGGCTGCTACAGCAGGTGTCCATTGAGGACAAAATTAGGGCTGCGGGCCAGGGCTGTCTGCAAGTGGCATCCCTCATCTCAGCCCAGGCCTGAAATTCCCCCTGATCACATTACCTTCCTTTAGTTAGGTGTAAGTGTTACCTGGAGCACTTGAGATGCTTGGGAGTAATGGGTTAGGATGACTCCATCTGTGGGAAGCACCTATGCATCTAGCAAACATCTCCTGAGCGCCTTCTTGGCGGGAATAAATGGGCCTGACAGTCTGGTTCACTAGTGAACGGCCAGCCACAGGCCAGGCACATGGAGGTACTCGGTCACCGACCTGTGCATGAAGGGGTGACTGATGCCCAGCGTTTGTCCTCAGGAAGCGAATGCTCCAGAGGAAGGAGTAGAACCATCGCAGGCAACCCCAGAGGATGCTGGGCAGAGAGGTGAGGGCCACTGGGTGCAAACCACCGTGGGCAGTTCTTGCTGAGGCTGGGTTAAGTCCCCGGCCAGCAGTACAGGGGAGAGACTGCTCCCCTATGGCACTCCTCAGGGGCCATGCTGCTAGGGCAGTGATCAGGAAGCCAACCCCGGCCTCCTTGTGGGCAGACCTGGGATCACCTGCAAATAAAGCCAGAGCCACTTCCAGGAATAAGGCAGGGGACACTAGTCTCCCAGGCCGAGGCCTTTAGGGAGAGGAGGTCAACCTAAGGTGACGGGGAGGCCTTGTTTTCCATCTGCAAAATGAGGGGGCTGGGGTGTGATGATCAGGAAAACCCCTCTCTCCTCCTGCACTTTACACCACGTGGATAGCCCCAGCCTCTCATCAGACCCCACTAGAGGGCAGGTCCTCCAGGAAGCCCCACCCCAGAGCCTCAGGCTAGATGCCCACAGCTCCATGTTCCATCAGTTTATGGAAGAAAGTGCGCACACCATCACAACGGCCACCACTGGGGCAAGGCCTGGCATGGCACCTGGCCATAGCAGGCCCTCAGAAGAGCATAGTCAGTGGAGTGGAGAAGTCTAGGATTGGGCCAGACAACCCCCAAGACTCTCAAGCTTGATTATGAGTTATGGTGGCTGAGGTCCTGTAACCACCTCCTCCCAGCCCAGGCCCACACTCACGTTGCGGAACTCTCGAAAGGGAACGAACTGTACAATATCGCGGGCTGCCTCCTCCCCCGTGTGGGAGCGCAGCATGCGGCTGTCCCCATCCAGGAATTCCATGGCAGCGAAGTCGGCATTGCCCACGCCCACGATGATGATGGACATGGGCAGCTTGGAAGCCTGCACCACGGCATGCCGCGTCTCCTCCATGTCACTGATGACCCCGTCCGTGATGATGAGGAGGATGAAGTACTGCTGCGGGGAGGGGGTCAACGGGACACTCAGCAAGGCCCAGGCCCTGGCGCCCCTTCTCCTTCCCTCCTTCACCCCAAACCCTCTGAGTCCTGGAGGGAGGCAGTGCATCTTACCCAGCTGCAGCCAAGTCCCAGACAACTCCCTATGCATCCTGCTCTCGGCACCCAACCCCTGCAGACCTCTCATGCACTAAACTCTGACCGGGTCAGAGCAGGAAGTACAAACCGCTCTCCCCTCCTGTGCTGTGTGTTATCTTAGACTCCCCCTTGTGGCCTCTGAGAGCCCTGGACTCTGGGCCTGGCCTTGCCGGTTACTACACTGTAGGACTCTAGGCAACTGACTTGACTTGTAGTGCTTCCGTTTCTTCTCTGCAAAGTGGGATTTGTTGCAGATAATGTGCCTGACATGTGGCAGTGGCCCAGTCAGCTGCATTCCCGACAGGCCCACAGCTGGTGCAGGAGGACACATCTGGCTGACGGGCTGCTCTGGGATCAGTCTCCTCCTCTCTGCTGCACCTGGGCATGGGCGCCTGTGACCCCCTCCATTCCCTACTCAACATGGCCATCTGAGACACCTTGCAGGAGCTAAAGCAGGTCGTCTGGGCCAGGGCTTCCAGGAGTGTGGGACTCTGCTGGCAAATAAGTGGATTTGGGTCACATCCCAAACACAGCACTGAGCACCATCAAGTCACCCCGGGAAGAGGACTGGTTTGCAGTGGCCTTTCAATTCTCTGAACTGCGCCCGGGAGCAAGTCTTGGTTTGGTACTACTGTGTCTTTCACGTCTCTCTAACATTTGCTGAGCTTCCTTATCAACAGAAAGGGAAGGCAGGAAGCCCAGAGCTTGAGGAGACAATAGTCTCCAGCTAGACTTTAATACCATTGTACAGCTTGTTGTGTTTATTTTTGTTGCTCTCTATTTATGGCAAGTGATACTGCTTTTTTCACATACACTGGGATATAGAGTTTCTTTATAAATTGAAACTAACAAATACTGAATAATTAGTGTGGGAGATATATAAAATACAAACTGTGAAGTGGGGCCGGGGAGTGCCTGAGTGAAGTGCAGGGAGGCTCACTGGACCATCTGAGGGTGAGGGCCCAGGATTCCAAATCGGCCAAGAACCCTTTTTTTTTTAGACTGAGTCTCACTCTGTCGCCCAGGCTGGAGTGCAGTGGCACGACCTGGGCTCACTGCAACCTCCAACTCCTGGGTTCAAGCGATTCTCCTGCCTCAGCCTCCCAAGTAGCTGGGATTACAGGCACCCGCCACCATGCCCGGCTAATTTTTGTATTTTTAGTAGAGATGGGGTTTCACCACGATGGCCAGGCTGGTCTCAAACTCCTGACCTCAGGTGATCCACCTGCCTCAGCCTCCCAAAGTGCTGGGATTACAGACGTGAGCCACCGCACCCAGCCAAGAACTCATTTTCAGCTCAGCTATGTCCTTAGTACCCGCTGACCCTTTAGGGGAAGCTCAGTTTCCCCCACCCCTAACATCAACAGATCAGCTCTTGTGATCTCCATATTCTGTTTGGGGCTTTCATCTTCCAGAAAAGGAAACTGGGGCCTGGACTAGTCAAGGTCATGGAGCTAAGGAGGGTGGAACTAAGCTGCACCCCAGGTCAGCCCTTGGCCACCTTCATATCCAGCAAAGCCGCTTGTTCCCTGGGGAGGTTGTAGAGGCTACAAGCTCAGCCCTCCAAGGTGTCTTGTTCCCCTGTCTGCCCCCCAAGTACAACTGTGGAGGGAAGGAGCAGGGTGAGCTGTGTGGAGACACGGACCCCACCACCCTCACCCCCAGCTCCAGGCAGCAGTGGTCTAGCTCCAGCACTGTGCCTTTAAGAGACCAATCCCTTGGCTGGGGATACCTGTTGCCATGGAAATGGCGGCCTGAATCCCACAGTGGAGGGCTGCTGTTGCCAGCCCCCCATCCCTGGCTGTGAGGGGCTTCAGAAGCCCATCCAGACCCTACGCCTGACAGTCCACCATCGTTCCTGGGCCCCTTCCCTTAGGCGGCCCTCCAACCCCACCTCAATACCATCAGAAACAGTCCAGGGCAATATTTCTGGGACACCTAAGCAGACAGGTGGAAAGACACTAAGAGGCCGGACAATGAGGAAAGAAAAGAATGCTTGGCCTTGGTCTAACAGGCCCCACCTTTCAGTGGGTGGGATCTGTCTCTAAGCCCGTTCCAGCTCAGGCAGGCAGTACCCACTCCCTCCACACGTGGCCCTCCTGGCTCCCTCATTTCTATCAGCCCCATGCATAGGAGACGTGTGGGACTCAGGCCTGGGCCTCCCTCTTAGCTGGCAGCTCCCACTCCCTGGGGAGCCTGGGGGCAGACAGTTCCTGCAGGACTGTGGGCACCAGTGGCCAGAGGAGGTGATACCACACAGTGACAGCACTACCCAGACCCTGCCTGTCACCCTCACACTGACTCCCATTCTAGAGGAGTTGAGCTCAGAGAGGTGATGTAACTTGTTGAGGCCTCACAGCCGGGAACTGGCACAGTCCAGATTGAACCCAGCCTGGCTGACTCCAAAGCTGGGGCTCTTTACATGATGTCCTCCTCCACCGCCCACTGGCACCAGTGGCCTGTCATTGTCTCCAGCAGAGGGGCCCGGCAGGGAAACGCTTTCTTCCCACGGAGCACGCCAGTGTCTGAGGGCCTGAATATCCAGGATAGCAGGCCAGGGTGGGGCCCAGAGCCCTGGTACTGGACTTTAACCCACACCCCTGTGTGCCAATCAACCAGCCACCATGCCCACACCCAGGGGCCTGGCCTCATCGAGTGCCCAGCCGTGCCTGAGGTCAGCAGCCCAGACCTCGGCAGTGGAAGTGCAGCTGACAAGTCCCTGGCTTCCCGCTCAGCCTGGACAAAGCCAGAGTTGTTCAGGAGCCTCAAACATCTATTACACAGCCCTACCCCCAGGACAGATCAAAGGGGAAGGGGTTATGGATGGAGAGAACGGAGGGTGGAATCGGGTGTGAGGGGTTGGAAGAGGCTCTGCAGGCTCTGCTGTCCCTGCAGATGGTCCTGGTTCACCCTGTCCCCAGCATTGCCACCTCTGGAAACAGCCCATCACTGTCAGACTGAATCCAAAAACCCAACTCCCAAAAAGGATGAAGCAACTCTTGCCTTTACCCCGAGGTTTTTCAGGTTTCTAGGGCTGTAAACAACTGCTTCCCCTAATGCATTTAACGTGTGATTTGATTTATAAGAAATTGACTTGACCACAACAGTTCCAGGCAGAGTCTAGGGAAGTTGCACTTACTCCCTAGCTCATTTCAGGGAAGTTGGCTGCTGAGGACCCTGCCAGGGGAGTAGGTGGAATTCCCAGGGAGCTGGCAGCTTCCCAGCTCCCCCTCCACTGGGACACCAGACACCTGGGCGACCAACCAGGAATGGGCCGTGAATAGCAAGGCCCAGGTCTCAGGGGCCAAGGCAGAGGGAAAGATGAAGGCCTGAGATAGGAGTCCCCCCAAGGCCCACTCAAACCTGCATAAGACCTTCCAGTGGCTCCCCACCGCCCTCCAGAGAAAACCCAGATTCCTCAATGGCTTTCGAGGCCCCGCAGGAGCTGGCCTACCTTTCAGCCTCACCTCACCCCACATCCTCCTCTTTCAACACATTCCTTCATTCCGGTACACCCACACACCAAACCTCCAGGCCTCCGCACGTGCCGTTCCCTCCGCCTGAGACACTCCACGCGCACACATCCTTTATGAGGCTAACTCAAGCATCCTCCAGGTTTCAGCTCACATGTCACTTTCCCAAGAAGCCTTTCCTGAGCCTTCCATCTGTGCTTAGTCCCCCTGTCTCCTGCTCCTGGCCTAGGGCTCCTCACTAGACTGCAGGCACTGGGAGGGCAGAGGCCCTGTCTCACTCATCATGGTCTCCCCAGTGCTACGCAGAAGTTGCTCGGTAAAGACGTGTTGAGTGAATGAATGGGAGAGTGCAGCCCTGCCTAGAGAGAGGCTTCCACCACCTGCTCTCAATTTCCTGTACGTGGGTGTGCATCGGTGCACATATGTCTGGGGATGGGGAGGGTGAAGCCACACCAAATATTCTTCCCCAAACTAAAAAACGGCTGACAAAAGCATCAGGGGATAATTCATAAATGACTTCCTTTTGCTTTGGGATTAATTGTGCTTGGCATCACCGAATGCTAGCCCAAGAGCTGTCCCCAAAAGATTCGGCCAGCAGGGAAGCACTTTATGTGTGCCAGGCACTACGCTGAGCAATTTCTATGCCTAGCTAGTTCTAGAAGGCAGGAACTGTTTCCATTATCCTCGTCGCACAGACGAAACAAGTTCACAGAGTTTAAGCTACCAGCTCTGGGTCCCACAAAGTCAGGAAGTGGGAGAGCTGGGAGAACTTCCCAGAGCTTGAGGCTGAACCACCAGGCAGCCCCACCTCCCCTCCACTGGTGCACCCTGAGGCCAAGGAGATAAGGTAAGGCAGGAGGTAGAGAATGGCCTTATCTGTTCTTGGACATCAGAGTGGGAGGGCCTGATACAGGCCCCTTGGGCCCACTCCTGCAGGTTAGACATGCTCAGACATGCCCTGAGATCACACAGCCTGGGTGGGTGACAGAGCTTTTCCAGCAGAAGGGAGCCAGGAGGTGGCTGCCTCCCCCAGGCTGGGAGGACCAAGTCGCAGTCAAAGTGGCTGGGATGTCCAGAGGACTAGCACCAGGTGGTTGGGCCTCAAGTCCTTCTGCTTCTTCCCTCTGGGGAGCTCTCCGCAGTTGCTCCTCAGAACACACAAACACCCTTCCTGGCCTTTCCTGGGGCCCAAACCTCCTCAGATCTGGGTCCAGCAGACACAGACCCACCTCTCCCCAGGACCCTATTTCCTACCCAGTCCTGCCCCGGCTCTGCAGGTGCAGCGGTGAAAGGGCCTTGGCGCTAACACTGGGCTGCAGGCCCACTCCCCACCCCACATTTTTCCCCTTAAACAAACATGCAGGACTTTCTTTTTCTATCCCTTTGAAAGCCTGCTCAGGTGGACAAGACTGGGTGGGACAATGGCCTGGCACCCGAACAGGAGGGAGTGCAAGCTGAAGCCTGCCTCTTGCTGTGCCCTCTCTAGCCAGTTCTAGCCCAGCAACCCCAGGAATTAAAAAAAAAAAAAAAAATCCCGGCCGGGTGCCGTGGCTCACGCCTGTAATCCCAGCACTTTGGGAGGCTGAGGTGGGCGGATCAGTTGAGGTCAGGAGCTCAAGACCAGCTTGGCCAACATAGTGAAACTCTGTCTCTACTAAAAATACAAAAATTAGCCCAGCATGGTGGCAGGTGCTTGTAATCCCAGCTACTCAGGAGGTTGAGTCAGGAGAATCACTTGAACCCAGGAGGTGAAGATTGCAGTGAGCTGAGACTGTGTCACTGCACTGCAGCCTGGGCAACAGAATGAGACTTTGTCTCAAAAAAAAAAAAAAAAAAAAAAAATCCCTCCCAGCCCTTTCCCAGTTACTGCCCATTAAGCCTGCACCCAGGTCCTCACAGCACACTAGGGGTTTATTACGCCCATTTCATAAGAGGAAATGGGTCTGGGTGCAGTGGCTTACACCTGTAATCCCAGCACTTTGGGAGGCTGAGGTGGGAGGATCATCTGAGGACAGGAGTTTGAGACAGGCCTGGCCAACATGGTGGAACCCTACCTCTACTAAAAATACCAAATTAGCCGGGTGTGTTGGTGGGCACCTGTAATCCCAGCTACTCGGGAGGCTGAGGCAGGAGAATTGCTTGAACCCAGGAGGCGGAGGTTGCAGTGAGCTGAGATTGCACGATTGCACTCCAGCCTGGGCAACAAGAGTGAAACTCTGTCTCAAACAACAAAAAGAGGAAATGGGTTCAGAGCAGGAAACATTCCATTCCATAAGAAGAAACATGCCCCAGGCTCAGGGCTGCCAGGGTCAGGGCCGGGACGTTCCTTCTGGCACTCTGAGCTCCTTCCGGCTGGGTGCTGCCTCCACGTCCTGCGCTTGCTGTTCCCTCTACCCAGGCCGCTCTTCCCTGAGCTCTTTGTTGGCCTGTCCTTCTTTGCTGGCCTGTCACTGTGTGACTTGTCCATTTCACACAGTGAGGAAGGGATAGCGGCAGGATTCAAACCCTGGCACCCGCCACTCCAGGGTACCCATTTTTCCCACAGACCCTCTGCTGCCTCCTGAACCATCAGAACAGGCTCTGACTCTCCCCGCTCCTATGGAAACTGCCTTTGCAAAATTATAACTGAGGAAATTATGACAGCGAAAGAAATCAGACCTAACTGACTTCATCTTGCTTCTAACCCTTCAACTGTCCTTGTTTATTCCTGGGTGTAGGCCAAACTAACTTTGGGAATGGATTCAGTTCATGGTTTGACTCTGAAACAAACCAGTAACAGCCCATTCCCAAAAAGACCCTCTTCTTGCCTGGGGTCCAGTATGTCTTTGCAGGACTAACAAATCAGCTACAGATTAGAAATTACAGTTTAGGGGTCATGCAGCCTCTGGCTCCAAGAGTCTGAACCTCCCCAAATTGGGGATAATGTCACTATTGTGAAGCCTAAGATCAGTGCTTGAGAGATTTTGCAGCCCCTGCACTCCATGGATCGGCGGACACCACCCAGACCGGTAATGTGGCTCAGTCAGTTCTGCCATCGCACCCAGGAACAGAGACAGCAAGAAAACCTCACTTCGACCCCCTATGATTCCATCTCCAACCTGACCAATCAGCACTCCCCACTTCCCAAGCTTCTACCCACCAAATTGTCTTTAAAAACTCTGATCCCCAAATGCCTGGGGAGACTGATTTAAGTAATAATAAAAGTCCGGTCTCCTGCACAACCGGCTCTGTGTGAATTACTCTTTCTCCATTGCAATTCCCCTTGATGAATCAGTTCTGTCTAGGCAGCAGGCAAGGTGAACCCACTGGGCGGTTGCACTATCTTTCCCACCATCTCCCGGAAGGCAACTGCCACCTCCTTGGTGACCAGGTGCCTCCCTCCCCTAGATGGTTCCCTTAGGCATGGGACCAGGTCCCTTTCCCTGGGGGAGGAGGCTCTGACTGAACTTGTACAGCTCACATCCCTCAGCCAGCGCTGACTTCATCCATTCACAGAGCACGATGAGCCTGCACAGCCCAGGCGCTGGACCAGGCGTGGAAAGAAGGATGTGAACTAGACGTTGCCGACCATCATCAGGGTCAGCCAGGAACAGGCAGAGAAGGCAAGAGATCTGCTTCAGATAGGTGGTCAGGGAAGGCTGCTTGGGGGAGGAGGCCCTGAGGGAGGGCCCTGCAGAGTCCAGGACAGACCTGCGGGGGAACAGCTGGGATTGCTTGAGGAACACAGAGGGGGTTGGGTGGCAGAATCATCCTAAGAGGAGGAAGGGGCTGTGCAGTCAGTGAGGGGGTCGGTAAGGAAGGCAGAGGCTTCAGGGGATCCAATCTGATGGCAGAGGGTATTTGGCAGGGCAGCAGCTGGATCTGACCCTCCAGTGGGGGAAACAAACGGTAGCGTGTGGAGTGGTGGTGTGAGGAGTGGTGAGGGCGGCGGCAGGGTCCAGTGAGACCTGTGGCCATGGGGAAGTGGGTGAATTTGGGATATTTTAGAGTCTAGTGAAATGACCACTCTAGAAGCGACTTCAGCAACCCTCTTCTTTCAATGGAGGTGGAAGATGAGAAAGGGGTGGGGGCTGGCCGAGGTCTCCCAGGAGGTGGTGGCCAGAAAGGAAATGGAGTCAAGTCTCCTCAACCCAGACCAGCATCCACAGCTCCAGGCTGGGTGCCTGATTCCCCATCATGGCGCTGGAGCCTGAGGAGCAGGGCTGGGTCAGGGGCTGAGAAGTCCTATGCAAAGGGCATGTAGGTCAGTCAGGTCCCCAAGGTCAGGAGAAGGCAGAAGGGACATCAGAGAACTGCCCTTAGGGCAGGGGGAAAAGACCCCTCAACTCATACTGCAGAGGGAGGCAAGGGCAGGTCATGGTGGAAATTGGGAGGTGGGCAAGGTGACCCTTGGTGACCCCATCACTGGCATCAGGCCCTGCCAGTAGGGCCTGCCTGGGAGCCAGCCTGCAGCTGGGGCCGGGAGAAGGGACGGGAGACCAGGGTTGCAGATGCCTGGGATGGCTGCTCACCATATATTCCAGATGCCATGCAGCTGCCTTGGCAGCCTCAGGCTGGGGCAGTGAGGCTCTAGGCTTGTTGCTGAGTGTAGGGCCAGGGCCAGACAGTTCAGCAGCCCTCAGTGTGAGGCAGGGGCAGCTCTGATTAGAACTAGGTGGCTCAGAAGGGTCAGCGTTAGGGCCTCAGGGATCACCGCCTCCAGTTTTCCATCTTGTTTCTCTTATGGGAATAACCAGTACCTCGCCCTGGGGAGACATCTCCCATTGATTACAGCCCTGCTTCCCGCTCAGCACGAATGGATTTACTTTCTCCAGTCTGTGCTCCAGGAAGCCAGGAGCTTGACTCAACTCTCTTACAATACGTGAAGGTAAATTGAGGCCCAGAGGTGTCCACTAGGATTTAGAGCAAAGAGAAGGCAGAATATCCTACTCCCCAGCCCAGAGGATGTGCGTGGTTCCTGGCATGCCTGGCTTGCAGCTGACTACTCACCGTGGCCGTCTGCTGCTGCGTGGCCTGGGCCGCAAACCGAGCCACGTGGTTGACGATGGGGGAGAAATTGGTAGGACCGTAGAAGCGGATGTGGGGCAAGCAAGCTGAGTACGCCTGGGCGATACCATCCACACCTGCCTCGGGAGAAGAGTCTGGATCAGCCAGGTGTCCCTGACCCCACACCCGCTCTCATCCCACTGCTGATGAAGCATGTATTTCATGCTTACCCAAAATGTCCCTGCCATGGCTAGCATAGGCCTCGTGAGACTGGAAGCTCCCAGAGGGAAGGGCCAGCATGGTAAAAAGTCAAGAGCCCTGAATGTGAAGTCAGACAGGCCTGAAGAGTTTGAATCCTGCCTTTTTTTTTTTTGAGACAGAGTCTTGCTCTGTCGCCCAGGTTGGAGTGCAGTGACAGGATGTCGGCTCACTGCAACCTCCACCTCCCAGGTTCAAGAATTCTCCTGCCTCAGCCTCCCGAGTAGCTGGGATTACAGGCATGTGCCACCACACCCGGCTAATTTTTGTATTTTTAGTAGAGATGGGGTTTTGCTGTGTTGCCCAGGCTGGTCTCAAACTCCTGACCTCAGGTGATCTGCCCACCTTGGCCTCCCAAAGTGCTGGGATTACAGGTATGAGCCACCGTGTCCGGCCTGAATCTTGCCTTTCTTAGCTGTGGGACCTGGGGCAAGCGGTTTAGTCTTTCTGAGGCTACGTCTTTGTCAATGGGACTGACAATCTACACTCTGGCAGTTGGCAGGAGGGGGGTCTCTCAGGCCTTTCCAGAGAAGGGGCTTGGCGAAGCTTGCAGTGATGCTTTGAGACAATGGGAAGCCATCTGGAGGTCTGTTCTGGACGTCCATTCTGGACATGCTATGGCTTCGGTTCAGGGTTGGGGGATCGAGGCATTTGCACAGTGTCTGTACAGATTAGGCGCTCTGTAAATAGCTGCTGTTGTGAGCACATTGCCATGTAGCCCTACCCAGAAGGCCTCTGGCCAGGGATGAAGTTGACCAACCAAATGTCACTGGAGATCTATCCCAAATCAGACACCCTGGCCCAGCTTTGGAGATCCCCAAGGAAGGCAGATGCTATGTTGAAGCCAAATCCTAGGCCAAAAGGTCTCATGATGGTAGAAACAGCCCTCTTCCATACCCACATGCATCCCCTCTCCTTGACTCAGACTTTTCTTCCTCCTTCCTCTATCCCTCCCTTCCGCCTTCTTCCCTTCCTTCCTTCCTTCCTTCCTCTCTCTACCTTTCTTTCTTTCCTTTCCTTTTTTCCTTCCTTCCTTCCTCTTTCTTTCTCTTTCTCTTTTCTCTCTCTTTTTTTCTCTGTCTCTCTTTCCTTTCCTGTTCTTTGTCTCTCTCTTTCCTTTCTTTTTCTCCTTCCTTCCTTTCTTCTTCTTCTTTTTTTTTTTTAATTAATTTTTTTTTTTTTGAGATGGAGTCTCACTCTGTTACCCAGGCTGGAGTACAGTGGCACAATCCCGCCTCACTGCAACCTCTGCCACCTGGGTCAAGCGATTCTCCCACCTCAGCCTCCTGAGTAGTTGGGATTACAGGTGCGCACCACCATGCCTGGCTAATTTTTGTTTTAGTACAGACGGGGTTTCACAATCTTGGCCAGGCTCGTCTTGAACTCCTGACCTCTGATCTACCCACCTCGGCCTTCCAAAGTGCTGAGATTACAGGTGTGACCCTCCCCTCCCATCCCCGTCTCTTTCTTTCCTCCCACTTCAGCCTCCTGAGTAGCTGGGACCACAGGCATATGCCACCATGCCTGGGTAATTTTTTTAATTTGTAGAAATGGGATCTCCCTCTATTGCCCAGGCTGGTCTTGAACTTGAGCTCACGCGCTCATCCTGCCTCAGCTTCCCAAAGTGCTGGGATTACAGGCATGAGCCATGGCATCCGGCCTCTAATAGTTTCTTAACTGTCCCTAGGAGGCTCAGAAATCCTCTTAGGCCCAGGGGTGGGGATGAACACAGACACCACACTCACTTCCCAGCCCCTGCCTCCCCCTGATCCCCTGCCAAGTACTCTGAGAGCAGGGCTGGCCTTCCCAGCAAGGGGGCGGGTGGGAAGGAGGTGAAAGCAGGTGTGTCTGGTGCCACCCTCACCTCCTCCTGGTTTGCACAGGGTTTCCTGTCAGTGGCTTCCTGTAATTCTCACCAAACCACCCAGTAAAGTGAGAAGAGCAGCCATCATAGCTATCCTGGAGCAGGTAAGGAGGCAAAGGCCCAAGTTTCCAAGGTCCTACAGCTCGGAAGGGCAGCAGCTGGCCTTGAATCCAGCACTATCTGACTCCAAACTGTAGCTCTTCCCACTCTGTCACTCTGAGCAACAGTGAGGGGGAGGGGAAAGGAGAAAGAAATGAAAACCTGTCCTCTGCCCACCCTCCACCCAGGGAGCTGGCCGGGCCTGTCGCAAACACAGGGCGGCTACAGGCGGGTCTGACACTCACCTGAGCAGAAGGGGTTGGTGGGGTTGAAGTTGATGGCAAACTCATGGGAGACCTGAAACGCAGAGAAAACACTGAGCTGCAGCCTCCCGCCCCCAAACCCAGACCCAGGCCACCACCCACTGCCAGGCCAAGGCTCCCTTGGAGAGCACCTGGCTCGTAACCCCCACCCCTACCCTCCTCTAGACCACTGATACTCCCCACATCTGCTTTTCACCTCCACTGCTGGGTGTGACGCACAGAGAGGCCCAACCACCCTCTCCTCATAGTGGAGGAAACTGAGACCCTGGCGTGTCACCCCAGGCTCTTCTGGGGACTGGGGCTGCCTATGCCCCATCAGTCCTCTAAGAGTCCTGGGTGGGACAAGGATTCCCCCCGCGGGTCAGGGTTCCAGGATGCTCCCTCATCACTGCTACTGCTGGATGTGGGCTCTACCATTAGAGCACCGCTTCTCTGGGCTTCAGAGGCTTTTCCTACCTTAATAGTAAGCAAAGGGGCTTGGAGGGGAGCCTGCCTAGTGCCAGATAGCCAAACGGGGGTGAGCTGACAGCCCGCTCAGAGCTGACCTGGCCATCAGGGAGTGTAAGGGGCCGCAAGGGGGTCAGATGGGGCTGTCACAGGCTCCCTAGGGACTGATCCTGCTTCTCTGCCTCCAGGCCCAGCACCCAGCCCCGGAAGATCATCAGAGGCTGACCTGGACACTCTGGGACACTGCTGCATCCATCACATCTGGCTGCTCCTGCTCGCATGGCTTCAGGGTACAGGGGGACTCATAACTGGCCCCGTTCAGGGCTGTGGGTGAGACTGCAGTGCCTGCAGAACCCGGGCCTCGGAAGATGCTGCAGAGCTCAGATGGGGGACAGCCCCTCCTTTCTTCCCTCCCCTGCAGCCCCACAGCCCCAAATTCCCCTCAGCCTGCTTCCTACCACGTACTACATCCACATTCAGTGCTGTGCAGGGATCCCCTTACTCCTTCCTCACAACGCCCCAATGGAAGGGCAGCTGTTATCACCTCATCTTACGGATGACAAACCTGAGACACAGAGTGGACTAGAAGGTTCCCACATTTCCTGGCGGGCAGAGCTGGGACTCGAACTGAGGTCAGGCTGCCCCCAGAGCTCACGCTAACCTCCAAAGGCATTCCTCCCCCAGGGATTTTCAGTGAGGAGGGTAGAGGGGTGCCCAGGGCAAAGCGACCCCCTCCCCGGTCCTCAGCTGCAGAGGACGGCTTTTGTCTGGCCACAGACAATCCCAGACAGACCCTTCAGCTCCAAGACACAATGACGGGGGTGCTGGGAGGCTCTCCTGCATCCAGCGTCCCCATTTAACAAATAAACAAATCGAGGCCCAGAAAAGGGAAGCCAGGCACCAGAGCCATACAGTCGAACAGGCCTGAGACCCAGTGCCCTCCCCTCCCTGGGGGTGGGAGTTGGTCCTACTCCTGGGGGAGAGGGCAGGGATGCAGCAGTGGGGTTCAGTCTGGCCTTCCTGGCAGCGTGGGGGTGGGGAGGTAGTGGGAGGATTCCTCCCTGTTTCAGGGAATGGGGTTTTCTGTTCTTTGCTGTCCGCTTTAGGTGCCCGGCACAGAGCCAGTCCTCTGGTGTCCCTCTTGGGTCCTGTCCCTGTCCAGGGCCCCCTTCACCCTGTTCCCAGTCTGGGCTCCAGGTTTGGGGGCTGGAGGTCCCTGTTGCCATGGAGATTTCCTGAGCCTCCACAGAGATTACCAGGGGGGCTTGTATGGAGGGGCTGAGAGAGAAAATGGTTGCCAGGGAAACAGGCCTCCCTTGGGCCAATGACTTCCTGAAAAATCAGATTTTAGGAGATTTTAGAGACCACAGTGGGAAAGCCCCCTGCTGATAAGGGTGGAGGAATATTTTGCCTTCTCAGGCCCCCCACTCTTCATCCCCACTCTTCCCCCCATCTTTTTTGGGGAGGGCCCAGCCTTGCGGTCATGGGGGCCGTGGAAGGTTATCCATCCACCCCAGAGGCCCCAGAGGTTGCCTCCTCCAGCAGCTCCATTTCATAGCTGGAAAGAGTGAGGTTCCCAGAGGGCCAGGGAGTGCCCAGGTCACACAGTGGGGCCTGGGGACAAGCGTCCATGCTACCAGCAGTGGCAGCTCAGCCCCTCCCGTACTGGCTGCCCTGGTTTGCCTGAGAAAAGTCATAAACAGGACAAGTTCCTGGAGGACACAGAAGCTGATGAGGGGCCCCTGGGGACTAGCTGCCTGCCACAGGCCTTAGTCCTCGGACTCCCTGTTGCCTTCCGACAGCCAATGGCCCTGTTCACCCAACCTGGCCTGCCTCGGCCCTGAGGTCAGGGAATTACTTCAGGCTCAGCTCCCTGCGGCCCTGGCTGAGGCAGGTGGTGGGGGCAGGGGGTGGGGCATGGAGAAAGCCCAAGGGATCTCAGAGTGACTGTCCTCTCTGGGCCTCAGTTTCCCCACCCACAGAGTATGCTCCCTCTCCCCCCAGACCTTTGCACAGACTATGCCTTCTGCCCAGATCCCGTTCCTCATCTGAGTAACTCTGCTCACGTTGAAGGGCCAAGACCTCATACCATATCCAAAGGGAAATGTGTCCTGAGCCCCTCAGCCACTCTCTGGGGCAGGATTCCTCTCTGGGCTCATCTGGGCCACCCTCAGGGAGAAACTGAGGTCTTGAAGGCAGGCAGCCTGGTCGCATGCTCCTTTTGGCTCCTTCTAGCTTCCCACCCTCAGAGAACCAACCCCTCTGTTTGCTCAGGCCTGGGGCCCCAAATCTGGGCTGGGTCCCAAATTCACTGTCAACAAACAATGGCAGTGCACACTGCAGGCCAGGTGCTGGGATGCAGGCAGAAGGAAACCCAGTGCCTTCCCCAGGCAATCACAAACAAGTCACAGAGTTCCATGAGGGCAGGGATCTGGGCAGGAGGAAGGGCCCCCATGTGAGCGTGAGCATGGCTCCCAGAGGGCAGGCCACTCCCCGAAATTCTAGGTGAAAATCGGTGACAGAAGCCCAGGAGAGGGACTGCGGGCTGAGTGAAGGCTATGTGCAAAGGCCCTGAGGTGGGAGTGAATGAAGGAGCTTCAGGCAGCAGGAGTGAGTCAAGTCAGAATGCGAAAGAGGGTGAGGGGCCAGGAGGGGCCAGGCCTGGCGGCTCCTGTGGCAGGGGAAGGCGGGACACAGCATCTGTCCTTTCCTAGCCTGGATGCAGCATCTTTCTTGGCACCGCCGGGCACTCCAGCCTGGCCAAGCCCCGGCCTCCCCAGCATCGCCCTGTGACATTTACAAGGAGGCTTTTGCTCAAGAAAACATCTCATTCAGTTCTTTGAAAGCTGGTTGGTGTCCTAGCAACGGGCTCGTGCTGGGCCCAGCCGCACCAGCTCGCCCTGCCCCCCCAATGGCATCATGTGGCCCAGCTTTGGTCCCATCTGAGGCGTAGCCTCACACCACAGGGAGCCAGGATGCCCACCTCTCCTGCCCTGGCCCTCGGGCCACTCCCCGAAATTCTAGGTGAAAATCATCCTCCCCAGAGAGGGCGGGAGGCAAAAATTCATTCTGGAAACAGCAATGTGGCACAGCAGGGCAGACAAGAAGGGGCACTGGCCGAGCGAGAGCCATGTGCAGACTTAGGAGCTCTCTGGGCTCACACCCCACGGGCTTCTCATGGGGAAGCAACAGACTCTGAGAAGAAACTTTAGAGTCCATCTGTCCAGTTGGTGAACATGGCCTTGGGCAAGTCACTTTGAGGCTCCAAGCCTCAGTTTATTGCCCTGTAAAATGGGGCAGCATTCCCTGCCCCTGTCCGCAGTGACTCCCCAGCGTTATAGCCTCTGCACTCATTGACATCTCCATCTCTGAGCCACCAAACCACCCCTCCCCTGGTGCCCGGGGTTCTATGAGGAGTCCCCGCCTCCTGCCCCAGGAATACCCACAACCACACCTCAGGGACCCCCCCCTCAATTCACCTCCATGCCTCTCCTGGCTCCTCCTCAGCCTTTAGACCTGCTTGACCTGCCCCTTCACAGCCGGGTGACTTCCGTGCTGGCTGACTGCCACACTGATGTCTCCATGCCCTTCTCCCCTCCCCGTCTGGTCTCTGCCATAATGGCCCCAGCTGTGGTCAGTGAAATGGGCAGTCTCTTCTCAGCCTCACCTCACCAGGCCCGGGGCAGCCTCCAACCCCACTCCCTCCTCCCCGAGCCCTGACTGCTTGGCTTCCTCAGTGATCGAAATGGGTTCATAACAGGGCCTACCTCACTGGCTTTGGTGAGAATTAGTTGAAACTGGTAAAGCAGGCAGAGTGGTATCTAGAACATTCTAAGGGACCAATAAATGCTGCTACTTATGGGTTTGCTTTCTGTGGGCTTCATGCTGCCCCTCCTTTGCTTCCTCCCCGCTCTGCCTGCCTGGCTCAGTCTCTGCTTCCTCTGCCTGGATCTCTCACGCAGCTGTTTCTTTTTTTATTTTATTAAATACATAAATTAATTAATTAATTTTCTTCTGTCACCCAGGCTGGAGTGCAGTGCACTCAGAGCTCACTGGGCTCCAGGGATCTTCCTGCCTCAGCCTCCTGGGTAGCTGGTATTATAGACGCCCACCACCATACCCAGCTAATTTTTGTATTTTCAGTAGAGACGGGGTTTCACCATATTGGCAGGCTGGTCTCGAACTCCTCACCTTGTGATCTGCCCTCCTCGGCCTCCCAAAGTGCTAAGATTATAGGCATGAGCTACTGCACCCAGTCAACTTTTAAATTTTGTAGAGACAGGGTCTCACTGTGTTGCCCAGACTGGTCTTGAACTCCTGGCTCAAGCAATCCTCCTACCTTGGCCTCCCAAAGCATGAAATTACAGGCGTGAGCCATTGCGCCCCACCTCATGTGGCTGTTTCTCACTCCACCTGTCTCCCTAGCAATCTCATCCTCCCAGAGGTGGCACCATGGGTCGTGGCCCAGGTGGCCAGGTCTGTCTCTGTCTCCCCGGAGCCTGAAACTACTGACCCATCATCAACCTATCTTTTTTTTTTTTTTTTTGTGACAGGTTCTCACTCTGTTGCCCAGGCTGGAGTGCAGTGGCGCAATCTCGGCTCACTGCAACCACTGCCTCCCAAGTTCAAGTGATTCTCCTGCCTCAGCCTCCCAAGTATCTGGGATTACAGGCATATGCCACCACGCTGGGCTGATTTCTGTATTTTTAGTAGAGACAGAGTTTCACCATGCTGGCCAGGAAGACCTCAAACTCTCTGACCTCAAATGATCCGTCTGCCTCAGCATCCCAAAGTGCTGGGATTATAGGCATGAGCCACTGTGCTCAGCCATCATCCACCTTTCTTCTGGGACTCCTACCTTACCATCTCCCCTGCTGAGCCTAGCACCCATCCCGTTCCTCATCTCGGTAAGCAGTACCACCCCCACCTCAGTTCTCAGTTGGAAATCTTGGTGACCTCTTCGGCCCACACTCACTTGGTCACGCAGACAGTCTTGGCCTCTGCCCTGAGTCTCCTTGCCCTCACCCCTTCTCTCCGCCCTCCACTCTGCCCACTCTCGCCCTAGCCACGCCCCACTCAGCAGCCAGGGGAGGCCTTCGGAAATGCCAATCTGCTAATGAGCCCCTATGTGGTCCCTGCAGGGGTCCCCGTGGTCCTTTAATGCCCACGTCTGTCTCCACCCTGCTCACCTCCAATGGAGGGTCCATCACCCACCTCTGCCAGCTCCTCCAGCTCATCCCGTAGCCTTCGCACAGGCTGTTCTCTGCCCTGAAGGCTCCCCCTGCCCCACTGCCACCCCTAGTCACTCTGCTACTTCCCTTTCCCCTCTTGGCTTAGAGCTTGCCCCCTCCAGGAAGCCTGATGGCCCCCAGCTGGGTTGGGTTCCTTCCTTGGCTCCCTGCAGGCCTTCAGTACCCCCGCCTCAGCACCGATGCCACTGCCCTGTCTTTAGCGTTGCCAAATAGAATACAGGATGCCCAGTATGACTCAGAAACAGAAAACAAAAAACTGCATGTTCTCCCTTATAAGACGGAGCTAAACAATGGGTGCACACAGAACAGACACACAGCGGGAATAACAGACACTGAGGACTCCACACGGTGGGGGGTGGAGGGATGACGGATGAAATGCCACCTACTGGGTACAACGTACATTATTTGGGTGATGAATGGAAAGTCCATATTTCACACAATACATCCTGGTAATACAACTATACTTGTACCCCTAGATCCAGACAAAACCTTGAATTTCAGATAAACAATGGATGATTTAAGTATAAGTATGTCCCATGCAATATTCAGGACATACTTATACTTTAAAAATTGTTTATCTGCACTGGCGCGGTGGCTCAGGTCTGTAATCCCAGCACTTTGGGAGGCTGAGGCCGGTGGATCACCCGAGGTCAGGAGTTTGAGACCAGCCTGGTCAACATGGTGAAATCCTATCTCTACTAAAAATACAAAAGTTAGCTGGGGGTGGTGGTGGGCACCTGTAATCCCAGCTACTCGGGAGGCTAAGGCATGAGAATTGTTTGAACCTGGGAGGTGGAGGTTGCTGTGAGCAGAGAATGTGCCACTGCACTCCAGCCTGGGCAACAGAGCAAGACTCTGTCTCTAAATAAATAAATAAATATCAATACATAAAAATACACATTGTTTATCTGAAATTCAAACTTAACTGGGTGTCTTGTATTTTGATTTGCAACACTGGCCATCCTGTCTGTCCTCCCCACTCCATAGGGGTCTCATGAGCAGAGAACATAACTGTGCTGCCCCGTTACAGCCTCAGCGTCTGCCCGAGAATCAGACTTGAGAAATGAGCGTGGCCTGGGGTGAACACAGGGAAGGCAGGGCAACAAGGCCCCAGCCCAGGATCTTTCCAGAGCAGATCCCAGAGAGACCATACACACAAACTGCATCTCAACCAAAAGGAAACTAACTCCGGTTTCACTTACCTTCCAGTCTGGGGGTAACTGGGCCCCGAATCCCAGAGCTGGAAACATCTTATCACTAATCAGAGAGAGAAGAGAAACACACTGTGAGACACCTGAGGACACCGCCTGACCCTCTGCCCAGGGCTGGGCGCGCTCGGCCTCGTACACTTTCAAGGACAGAAAGGAGGAGCTCACCACCTCTAGAAAAAGCTGTTAGGATCATCTACCTAATGAGCCCAACCCACCTCCGGGGACCTGGTGAACCTGTGGCCTGACCACATCTATACCTGTGGCAGACACAACAATGGTACTTCTAACCAATGGGCCTGGGCGCAGCTTCTAGATCCTTCTCAAACTAAGACCCCGGCCAGCCACTAAACCAAGGTCAAGATGGAAGTAGAATGAATGTACTGGCTGTCTCCCAGCCTCCTGCTCTAGGGAAAACTCTACTAATATGAGAACCCTCATGTGGCATTCAAGGTCCTGTGTCATCCAGCCCCAGAGCCTAGTCTCGTCTCCTTCCACCTGTGCCCCTTCACACCCCACTCCCCTAGCCCTGGCCACTAGCCACTTGCTATTCCCCAAACACACAGGCTACCTTCACATTCCAACTTCAATGCTGTTGTGCCCCCATCTGTAACATCTCTCCCTAATCTGTTTCCCCTAGCAAACTCCTACTCATCCTCTAAGGCCCAATCAAAATGGCCCCTTCTCTCTGTAGATTTCCCTGATACCCTACAATGCCTCTCTTTTTGTGCTCCCATAGCTCCTGCTTCACATGTAAACTGGTCTCTCAGAACTCCAACAATTTCTTCCTTATCTTCCTCTTTAAGTAAGAACTCCCTGAGGACAGGGACCACATTTCATTTGCATACGCACTCAACATACATCTACTAAGGATCCCTCTGGCTGCAGTGGAAAGGACACACAGCTGGGGGCCAAGGCAGAAGCCGGGAGACTGATGAGGAAGCTAATGAAATGATCTTGGCAGGAAGTGATGGTGGCTTACCCAGGCAACCAGAGCTCACTGGGGCCATGCTAAGTCTTAATGCCCATTAGACAGCTCAGTGATGGGCTGAATGGGAAGCTGGACAACTGGGACTCCACACAACCATGCTGATGATGACTTCCACTTCCCTTGTTCTGCATGTTGTACCTCTCTTAATGTGGCCTGGGATCACAGCCACCCTTCAGGCCCTGGGCCCCCTGGGAGTCAAATGCTGGTCCCCGGCTGCCCCTCTCTAGGAGGCCAAGTCCACATAGGGCTCCTGAACCTGCTCTCATTCCTGCCAAATTTCTGGCACCTGCTCCTTCCTCCCCTGTTCCCAATGTGTCAGCCTCCTGGTCATTCCATCCTCTGACCTGGAGCTCCCAACTAGCACCATCTGTGACAGTGATGTCATATCCTGTCGGTGGCTACACCTGCCATACTTTCACACAGCTTCCCTTCACTGGCTTTCCATGGTACCCACCCTGACCCAAAGGTCCCCAGGAAGCAAGGTCATAGGAGGAGGGTCCATGCATGCTGGCTGCTCCTCAGAAGTTCCCAACAGAAGTGAGACCATTAGGAAACTAGTACCAGGCTCAGGAACCAGAATGGCTGACCTCCAGTCCCATGATCTGTGAGACCTGGAACAAATTCTCTACTCCCACCCCAGGCCTCCCATTCCCTAGCTCTAAAACGAGAGGATGCAGCAGTAATGAACAAATTTCATCTTCCATCCTGATTCATTTTCTTACTAGCTACTTCGTGTACTGTGTGGAAAACGATCCCAGTTTGAATCTGGGCTTGGCAGGTTGGAGTTCAGCAATTGATTAGCAATGTCTGTCAAGGGTAAGGGAATGGGTAATAACTGCACCTATGCCGTTTGCTGTCCATTCCTAGATTTGATGATTTCTGGGTCCCTTCTAGCTTTGACACACTGAGCTTCCCAGGTTGGACGGAACCCTGGCTGACCTTCAGAGCCCCTCTCCAACCTTACCTGTCATAGTCCTGAATGATCTGCCCAACAGCCCAGATGGCCGACAGATATTCGTTGGTGCCCATAGGGTTGATATAGTGCAAAGAGGAAGGGTCCAGGGGATTCCCGTTGGAGGCTGTAAAGTCTATTCCAACCTGCAGAGTGGAGAAAAAGGCCACCCAGTGGGGCCAGAGACCCCGGCACCCTATCCCACTCCCAGGGAATAGGAGAGGTAGATGGGACATGGGAAGCCCACTCGTCTCCCAGCCCTCCCCACAATATGATGGTCTGAAACCTAGAAACTGTCTGATTGTATCACTCCTCTGCTCTAATGCCATCTGTGGCTCTCTATTGCCCAAGCATAAAGTCCATTACCTAGATGTGATGACATAAGACTAACGTACAGTCCCAGATTCCTTTTTCTCCTTACTATCCCTACCTACACATTCATCTGTTCCCATATGCAGGCATTTATTCATGAGCTTCCCTCTGCATATAGTGCCAGGCTATCATTTCTCCCTGTTTAACTTTGCCCCATCTTCCAGGCCCAACTCAGATGCCACTGCTCCACTGCAACCTTCCCAGATAACCTCACCCTCAACCCAAGCCATCTCCCCATTATCCCTCAGACCAAGGGGCCTGGGACCTGGGGTTGCCTGGTAGAGCAGTGCCAGTCTCCCTGGAGGAGCCTGGCCCAGGGCTGGGAACAGCAGACAAGGCACATGCTTCATAGGGACTCAGGGCTGATAGGCGGGCAGGGATTGGGGCTCTACCTGCTCTCTCAGCCCCAGAGAATCCCAGACTAATCCCTGGAGAAACGGCACAGAAGGGTGGGCAAGGACGACCCCTACCCAGCAGGGGAGGGTTAGAAGTAGGACCCAGGGGAAGATTTGGCTACATGGGAACTCAGTTCCTGTGGGGTAGGAGAGAAGGGGCCACCCATCCAAATCCTCGTATGGCTAGAGGGTCACTCCCCCAGGTCAGGGGGAGCATGTCTTAGTCCTTGAGGGACCCCTGCAGGGACACAGCCTAGAGCCTGGCACAAAGGAGGCAGTCAGTGTGAGTTTGCTGAATGAACAAACCCATGCAGGAGGTCCAGGAGGGCCTGGCCTCTCCGCAGGGGAGGGGGCAGTGGTGGGCAGTAGGGTCAGAGGTCAGCAAGGCCAGTCCTGTGACTTCATGGCATCCTGCGATGCCCTCCATCTCCCATTGGGATCTAGGGGTGGTGATGGGGAGCGGTGAGATAACATGGGGAGGTGGGCAGAGTGTGTTACCCCAGCAGCTTCCTCCCTTCTGGGACTGAGGCTCCCTTGGGGTGAGGAAGCAAAGCCATGATGAATGGCCTAGAGTCTGTGGGGCAAAGACTACAGGCCACAGGCAAGGTGGCAGCTCATTCTTCCAACAAGAAATGATGGAGCACCTACTTTGTGCCAAGTACTGTGTGATATGCTGGGGTTAGAGTGGAAGCAAAATAAACAAAGTGCCCACACTTAAAGCACTCACATTCCAGTGGGTGCGACGATCAGGGAGAAGCAACGAATGCATATGAATCTTGGGGTGGCAAGTGCCCAGAAAATAGGAAAATATGGAGGGCCAGGCCCAGTGGCTCAAGCCTGTAATCCTGGCACTTTGGGAGGCCGAGGTGGGCAGATCACTTGAGCCCAGGAGTTTGAGACCAGCCTGGGCAACATAGCAAAACCTCATCTCTACGAAAAATACAAAAATTAGCTGGGCGTGATGGCATGCACCTGTAATCCCAGCTACTCAGGAAGCTGAGGTGGGAGGATCAATTGAGCCCTGAAGGTGGAGGTTACAGTGATCTGAGATCGTGCTACTGCATTCTAGACTAAGTGACAGAATGAGACACTGTCTCAAAAAAAAAAAAAAAAAAAAAAGGAAAAGAAAAGAAAGAAAATAGGAAGATATGACAGAAGAGCAGCAAGGCATTGAGGGAGGGAGGGAGGGCTCCCTGGAAGGTGACCTCTGTTACCTCCTCAGGCCTGAAAAATGGCAGGGGGGCAGCCATGCAAAGGTTCTGGGGAAGTGTTTCAGGCAGAGGGAACAGCAAATGCAGAAGGAACAGCAAATGCAAAGTTCTAAGACGAAGCAGAGCTTGGCGTGTTGGGCAAACAGAGGAACAGTGTGGTTGGAGCCCACTGAGCGAGGAGGAAGGAGACTGCAGATGAGGGAGGCAGCGATCGCTGAAGGCCTTGTGGCCAGTGAGGAGGAATTTGTTTTCTTCCACCTACAGAAGGAGCGTAGCCACCAGACTGAGAGCTGTGCACCTGTGCTCTGACCTGTAGCTAAGCCCCAGCTCAGGCCCATCCAGCGGGACCAGACAGCCCACTTAATGCCCTCCTCACTGGGCCAGACACACTCCTTGCCCCAGGGAAGTCCTTCCTGAAGTCTATCCTAAGTCCCTCTGGCTGCACTAGTGGCCCTAGTACAGCCAGGGCCAGGGAGGACCCTCACTGGGATCGGGGTGCAGAGGGAGCCAAAGGGGAGAGCCTTACGGTGAACATGAGCTGGCAGCCTCCCAGGATGTAGTCTAAGAAGGAGTAGTCTCGGTTTATCTGGAAGAAAGCGGATGAGTCAGTGGGCCCCCCTGACTTGGTCACACTCCCCGTGGGGGAATTGTTGCTCTATGTCCTGCAGCCTTAGTAGGGACAAGGAGGTCAAAAAAAGCTGATGGGCCTGATCTAATTACAACAGAACCCAAATCTCTCTATAACAAAGCCATCAGTGCAATGGCTCCCAATGGGTGGGGGACTCACAGAGACCCCCACATCCCACAGATACACAGACACATGCTGCTTCCAGGCAGGGTCCCAGGGCCCAGTGTCAGTTACCCGACATAGAGTGTCTCAATTTGTCACTGTTAGGTACTTACCTTCTCCTGGCCCTTATTAATCTACCTTTTTCACAAAGAGAAAGAGCAGGCCTCCAGCTCAAGGCCTTCCTCTAGAAGTTGATCAAGCCATTAAGACTGTATTCGTTTTGATGGTCCCTGTCTCTTTTTGGCAAAGAAGCCAGACCTTTTAATTTTGGTAGAGTTCTAATAATTCCTTTCTAAATAAACGTATTTAAGGAAGGAAAGAAAAAAAAAGAAAGAAAGAAAGAAAGAAAGCCAGCCAGCCAGCCAGCCAGCCAGCCAGCCAGGTATAGTGGCTCACGCCTGTAATCCCAGCAGTTTGGGAGGCCAAGGCAGGCAAATCACTTGAGGTCAGGAGTTCAAGACCAGCCTGGTCAACATAGCGAAAGCCCGTCTCTACTAAAAACACAAAAATCAGCCAGGCGTGGTGGTGCACCTGTAATCCTAGCTACTCGGGAGGCTGAGGCAGGATAATCCCTTGAACCCGGAAGGCGGAGGTTGCCGTGAGCCAAGATCACACCACTGCCCTTCAGCCTGGGTAACAGAATGAGACTCTGTCTCAAAAACAAAAACAAAAAACAATAATGCAGGGAAGAAAGGCTGATACAAAAAAGTAAGTAAGGCAGGTGCCAGAAATTGTGAAAAGTGATGTGAATGATGGAAATTTCAGAAACAAGGACCATCCATCGCGAGGCTGCAACCTGACATCTTGACCTTTAACAGAGCGCTTTTGTGTCGCGACATCACTGAATGCTCGTGTAAACCCCAGCCAGACGAGGCTCCAAATAAGGTTGGGGTCTGGGATCCACCCATTGGTGGAGAGCAGCGGCCAGACTCCTGAGCTGTCAGGCCCTGAGCCCAGGGCTCTTGCTGTCCTGCCCCAGGCTGCTTTCCTTAATGTTCTGCCAAATCCAGCAGTTATTTGCCCACCAGGTCTCCTGGCCCCCGCCCACAGCCTGGCCACTGCTGACATGAACTTCATTGCCTTTCTGGGCCTCAGTGGCCCTGGTTGTACCATGGGAGTCACAGTAACATTGATGCCAGCGAGGACAGGGTGCCCCCACCCAATGTCCTCTGCCCCTTGCAAGACCACCATGGGTGGTAGTGGCTTGCAATGACAATTCTCCCACCAGGACAGGCCCTGGAAGGTCAGCCCGTGCCTTCTTCGGCCTCCACACAGGAATATGAGAGAAGAGTAACCCCGGATATGCTCTGCCTCATGAATATCTCCATTCCACAGATGAGGAGACTGAGGCCCAGTGAGGTGAAGCTCAGAAGGCCATAGGGCCAGGATGTGGCAGAGCTGGGATTTGAACACAGGCCTCACTGGCTCCAGACCCAATGCCATGTCTTTCCCTTCTGTGTGGCCTGAAACCTGGCCCCTGGCTCAGGCTTGCCCGCACCAGCTCACCTTGCAGGATCGCAGAATGATGATGCCCGAGTTCTTATAGTTCTTCTTCTTCCTCTGCTTCTTGGGGTTGATGCACTCGAACTCCAGCTGGGCAACGCAGAAGAAAGAGACACTCAACTCGGGGCTTCTTTGTTCTTTGGGGACAGATCCTCCTTGTTGGCCCTATAATCCCTTCCACAGGCTTGACAACAGGGGCAGCATGCTTCCTCCAGGGAGCCTTCCGGGATGTCCACACCCAAAAATGGCAGCAGGATCAGCATCTGACTCCCTCCTCCCTAGATAACGCATCCCCATCCTGTCCAGCTGAGGGCCCAACATCATGGGATGATGGACAACTCCTGACTGCTCACTGTGTGCTGGGCACTTCACCCGAATCATCTCATCAATCCCCACCCAAATCCTCTGCCCCCACTGACAGATGGAGAAACTGAGTCTTAGACTGAATGCCTTGCTCAAGGTCATGCAGCCAGAAGGGGGATCTGAGCCCCAGGCTGCTTGACCCAAGACCCGGTGCCCCCTCCCCGAGCCCTGCTGAGGTCTTGGGGTCATAGTACACATGCCCATCTCACCGGGATGCTGTCTCGAGCCTCACACATCTGTGACACTGAGGTCTGGAACTCGCCGATGAAGTCATGGCCCCCGTCATTGTCATAGTCGTAGCACATGACCTGGGGTAGGTTCAGCATGGTCACCTCAGAGCTGTCCCCCAAGAGGAGCTCTCCAGCCCCTCTCAACTCCCCAGGCAAACCCTCTGTCTTCTGTTTGGGTAGTGCCTCCCCTCAGCATCTGCCTAGCTGGCCTGGATAGCTCCTGAACTGCCTCCTACAGGAAGTCTTCCGTGATTGCTGGGAAAAGAAGATGTGTCTGCCCCAATGATGGAGGCTGTACCCTCTAGTGCAGGCAACTCCACTCCTTACACACTTGGCAATTGGCTTCCCCTCTGTCTCGGGTTGTGACTCACCCAGCTTATGGCCTGGGGTCCTCTCTAGACATATTTTTTTCTGAGATGGGCACAGAAATCACAGCTCTATATGCTGTCTAACTGAGCTGCCATGGCCCTCCTAGGAGGAAAGCAAGGATTATTGTTCCCATCCCACTGATGGGTAAACTGAGGCCCTGAAAGAGAAGTAACTGACCAAAGTCTCGCAGCAACAGTAGCAGACCCAGTACTAGAACCCGAGATTCCTGGTATCCTACTTGGGAACCCCTGTCCTGACCTAGCTGTCTCCCCAACCCCATCTGCTCTAAGACCCAGCCCCTGGGGACCAAGAACTTTTATTTATTTGATTTGATTTTATAATTTTTTTTTTTGAGAAGGAATCTTGCTCTGTCACCCATGCTGGAGTGCAGTGGCTCAATCTGGACTCACTGCAAACTCTGCCTTCCGCGTTCAAGCAATTCTCCTGCCTCAGGCTCCTGAGTAGCTGGGATTACAGGCATGCACCACCATGCTCGGCTGTTTTGTATTTTTAGCAGAGATGGGGTTTCCCGTGTGGGCCAGGCTGGTCTTGGACTCCTGACCTCCAGTGATCTGCCCGCCTCAACCTCCCAAAGTGCTGGGATTACAGGCATTGAGCCACTGCACCCGGCCAGAGGACTGAGAGCTTTTAGAGAGACTGGTAATCACTGTCCTTACCATACCACATTTGATCGTTTCCAAGGTGTTTCCCTAGCTAGCAGCTCCGCAGCCCTCTGGGGAGGGCAAGACAGTTTTGGAGAGGGGCTCAAAGGTGGGGGCCTGCCTGGGTACTTCAGGGCATCAGATAGATCCAGGATGAGGACCCAGTCTCCAGTCCTCCCTCCTCCAAAGATGGGGGTTCGTTCCATTTGCATGAGAAAGAGCTTTCTACAAGGCATCCCCGGGAGCCTCAGATAGACAGGGAGGCTGGAGCTGGCAGGGTGGGGAGCAGGGTCCCCGGAGCCCCCCTCACCTGGATGGGTTTCTCCATGTCCCCATCACACAGGGACACCAAGGGCACTGTGAATGGCTTCCACACAGGGTCCAGTGTGTACTTGATCACCTGTGGGAGAGAGAGGGGTGTGGTGAGCTCAGGCCCTGGGCAGCAGTGCTCTGGGGTTGGGTCAGCCCAATAGGAACAGGGTGGCAAAATGGAGACCCACAGCTACACTTTCAGAGACGGAAGCGAGCGTCCCTGTGGCTGGCAGGAAGCATGTCCCTCAGGTGCCACTGCGGGTCTTCCTGCACACTGCGCAGCTGTGACCGCACTGCCCTGTTCAGAGCTGTGGAGGGGCTGGACTGCAGGCCCACTGCTTAGAGACCCCTGGGCCCCCACGTACCCACCTCAGTCCTGTGGACCAGCATCCACTTGCCATCGTCTCCTGGCTTATAAAACTCCAGAAAGGGGTCTGACTTCCCAAAGAGGTCCTGGGAGAAATGGGAGGATGCAGGTCAGAGAGGCACAGCCCTGCCAGGTGCAGGCAGATGGGGGTGTGGCCCCGCTGCCTCCCCAGCTGGGTGTCAGGGTGGCAGCTGTGGGCAGAGCCAGACTGGCCCCCTCCCCTCAGCCTCTGCAAGGCTCAGCAAGAGGCCCAGGGCAGCTGCAGCCCCCTGGGATCAACCAGGTCCCCCAGCAGAAATCCACCACCCTGAGGCTGTCAGAGCTTGTGCTCAGAGACCCCCAAGACCTACACCCTGTGTGAGTCAGAACTCCAGCACTTTAGATGGGCCAGGAACTTCAAGAGGGCGCCTATTCCCAAGGTAGGGTGAGGCCCCCAGCAGGATGTCATTTAAATCTATTTTATTGCGAATGTGAAAACTATCCTGAAACTATCCTGCACATGACGTAAGGAATATCATGGCCTAAAAAATCATTTAAGGTTTAAAAAGGGCCACTTTTTGTATGTGACTCTATCTATCTATCTATCTATCTATCTATCTATCTATCTATCTATCCATCTATCTATCTATCTTTCCTTCCATCCATCCACCCATCCATCCATCCATCCATCCATCCACCCACCCACCCACTCACCCACCCATCCACCCACCCATCTATAGGGTCTCACTATATTGCCCAGGCTGGTCTCAAATTCCTGGCCTCAAGTGATTCTCCTGCGTCAGCTTCCCAAGTAGCTGGGATTACAGGTGCGAGCCGCTGTACCTGGCAAGTGTTACTTTAAAGAGATTATATTCAAGTGAGGGAGACAGAAAATAAAATAAGAAAGTATGGGCTAGGCACGGTGGCTCACGCCTATAATCCCAGCACTTTGGGAGGCTGAGGCGGGTGGATCACAAGGTCAGGAGAGCAAGACCATCCTGGCTAACACGGTGAAACTCCGTCTCTACTTAAAAAAAAAAAAAAAAAAAAAAATTAGCTGGACATGGTGGCAGGCACCTGTAGTCCCAGCTATTTGGGAGGCTGAGGCAGGAGAATGGCGTGAACCCGGGAGGCGGAGCTTGCAGTGAGCTGAGATCACGCCACTGCACTCCAGCCTGAGCGACAGAGTGAGACTCAGTCTCAAAAAAAGAAAAAGAAAAGAAAGTATGCTAGACAGCAATAAGAATTAAGGAGACAAGGAGGAGAGGGTGGGAAATCAAAGACCAATTTCAGGAAAGGCCTCGTTGAGGAGGTGATGTGGGAGCAAAGGCTTGATGGAGGTGAGAGAGTGCTGTGTGAAAATTCAAGGAAGAGAGCATCCCAGGCAGAGAGAACAGCAAGTGCAAAGCTCCTGAGGGAGGAGAGTGCCTCGTTTAATTCACGGACAAGGGGATAGATTTGGCTGAAGCAGAGTGAAGTGCAGGGAGAAGGGGTGAGGTTGGGGAGTCGGGGCACTGGGGGACACATCAGGTAGGGCCTCATTGGGTAAGGACCCTGGCATGTACTTACACTATGTGAGATGGGGATGCCCCGATGAGCAGGTTTCCAGCTGCGTTTTGAATACCCCTAAGGGATGGAACACTCACTACCTCAGAGGTGAAGGGGTCCTAATCTGGAGTGGCCAGGAGGGCCCTGTGCTGGATGAGTCCCTGGAATGTGATGGAGGTGGTGGCCCGGGGCCCCGGAGTGAGGCCACACAGCCCTGGGGCTGGTGGGGGTTTACTGTTCCCCTTTGGAGCCCCTCCTCTGCCCGCCTTACCTTCTTGTCCAGCCTCCTGCCCGCCAGGCTCAGCGTGATGACGCGGTTGTCAGACAGCTCCTGGGCAGCAATCTGTAAGGCCAGGGACATGAGGGGCTCCTCAGACTCCCCCAGCCTCCTGCCAGGCAGGATGGCACAGGGTGCCCCAGGAGCAATCCTCCAGGGTCAGGAGGGGGAAGGGAGGGGCAGTGCCAGGTGATCTTGGACAAATCTCTTGTTTTCCCCACACCTCAGTTTCCATCTTCTGGAAAATGGGGGAAATAACCCATCTGGAGATGAGGAATCAGGAAGTGGATCTATGCAAATCCGCAGGGCCCATGGGGTGGTGGGGGAAGATGAAGCACACACCGGGGGTGGTCTTGAGTCCCGGGGAGAGGTTCTGGGCCAGAGAGCAGCATGACTGGCCTCCTCCTGCCTCTACTGCAGCCACAAAGAGCACAGCTTCCTCAGAACACCAAGGTGTCAGCATCACAGCCACATCATTGTGCAGCTAGGGAAACTGGGGCCCAGGGGAGAAACTGAGTCCCATCAGTTCACACTGGTCATCTGTCCTATATGTATTCCCCATCAGCTATGGTTCCCTGACCCCAGCTCAGCCAGTGATGGCCTAGCTGGGTGACTTCAAGACTGCTGAGGCCCTCTCTAGGCCTCTCTCCCTCCCCTGCTGCCCACAGCAACACAAGTGGGCTGGGGCCTCTCGCTGGGGCCTCCTCTCCTCTCCTGCCTCTAGGATGGCCTCACCCAACGCAAGGCATCCGGCCCTCTGGATCCACAGACAGACGCCAGCCAGGTTGCCCGTTCTCCCCTGCCATCCTCCCACTGGGACTTGCTCAACGACCCTATAGGGTAGGTCCTATTATCACCCCCATTTCCCAGGGGAGGGGACGGAGGCCTAGAGTGGAACTGCCAGAAATGCTGGGGGTGATGGCATACCCAGCTGAGTGGGGTCTGTCTGGGATGGCTTCTAGGTGGAGGGAAGCTGTCTTGTGAAGGTATTCATTCATTCATTCATTCATTCATTCATTCATTCATTCAGATATGGGGTCTCACTCTCTTGCCCAGGCTGGAGGGCAGTAGCATGATCATAACCCACTGCAGCCTCAAACTCTTGGCCTTAAGGGATCCTCCTGCCTCAGCCTTCCAAGTAGTAGTACTACAGGTGCAAGCCATGTACCTGGCCTGGAGAGGCATTTAGATGGGGCAGTTAGAACACTAAGAAGCGGGGGGAGGTTGTTTGGGAGGTGGCGACCCATGGGGCAGGAACACAGTAAGAGCCTGGGGTATGTTCAGGCTATGCTAAGAATTCATAGCATTTGAATTTGAACTTTGAACACAGGGCATTTAAGTGAAGGAGATTAAACACCGAGGCAGGAGAGCCAGGCAGGGTCTGAGGGGTCCTTCACAGCCTTGAACCGAAGGGTTGGTCAGGCAGTGGGGAGCCCTGGGAGGTTCCAGGGCAGGGGAGTAACGCACCGGAACACACAAAGGCATGGCTTCTCCCTCCAGCCTGGCTGGCTCCCCAGGCATCACATGGCCTCGGAAGCCAGCCAGACAACCTAGGGGACGATCTCGCTAGCTCAGCTGCCCGAGGGAACTTCTTCTCTGGGCCTCAGGGGTGCCCTGGCTTTTGGGAGTCTTTGGGGACCAAGGAGCTCATTCCTGCCAAGGGCCTGCGCATCGCAGGGGGAATTGCTGCGCATCGCGGGAATCGTTGCGCATTGCAGGAATCATTGCACGTCGCAGCCACAGGCAGGGCACTGATGGGCAAGGCACTTCTGAACAACCCCCAGGGGAGGGCAGACAGGGGCCAGTGCAGGGAGGGGGCTGCTGGCAGGGCTCTGGAGGCCTCCCCAGCTTGTCAGCCCCCAGTGCATCATTTGTGGAGCCAGGAGCCGGTTGCTAAGAGACCTGTTGCTAAGTTGTAAGTTGGGCCTTTTTACTCCAAACAAAGCTGGTGATTATCTGCCAGGGAAGCGGCCCATTGATGGGGGAGGGTGTGGAGTGGGGGTGGAGGGGGTGCGGAGAGCCGGGAGGGGACTGGTACCGTAATCAAGCCCTTCCCGGCAGGCTTGTCATTCAGCAGCAGCAGAGGCCTAGTGATCTTCTTGCTGGAGACAATCTAGAGGAGAGAGGAGAAAGGGCGCTCAGTGAGGAAGTAGGGGAAGCCCCGGGAGGAAAAATCCTCCACCGGCGCCACTCGGCAGGGCTGCCTCCCGTCCTGGGCTGGCTGGTGACCTGCCTGAACGTCACTGTCACCCTGGGAGGTGGACAGCAGCCAATCTGGGCAGTGAGGAGCCTGAGGCCCAGAGAGGGTAAGAGACCTGCCTGAGGTCTCCGGCTGCAGTTGGACTCCCACTGCCCGGTTTGCCCCTAGGAAAAGGCATTTTGGAGACAACTGTGGGAGGTTAGCCTCCAACTCCCTTCTCCAGAGGCATTCCACAGACCCCATCTGCCTCAGGATATGATCTCTGATGGAGAGTCAAGCTCTGATTCTATGTATTTTCCTTTATTTTTCTTTTGAGACAGGTCTTGATCACGGCTCACTGCAGCCTCAATCTCCTGGGCTCAAGCGATCCTCCCACCTCAGCCTCCTGGGTAGCTGGGACTACAGGCATGCACCACCACGCCTGGCTAACTTTTTTTTTTGGTAGAGACAAGGGCTCATTATGTTGCCCAGGCTGGTCTCGAACTCCAGCCTCAAGCGATCCTCCTGCCTTGGCCTCCCAAAGTGCTGGGATTACAGGCATGAGCTATAGAGCCCAGCCAACTCTATGTATTTTTATTGGTTTGAATAGGTAATACACTCACACAGGGTGCAATAATCAAAACGACAGAGAGGAAAAGTGAGCCACATTGAAAAGTCGCCCTCCCACCTGTGTCTGCCCACTGCACTCAGGGGCCAGCATGGTTCATGTTTCCTGGGTGCAGTGTGAGTGTCATCCTGTGCAGCGGGGAGCACACACCAGAATGATATAGTCCTGCTCCTGCGGGGGTAGTTCTTCTCCCCAGATCCATGCACCTGCTCTGTGCCCTGGGACTGTGCCACCTGGCTCTTTTGTCCTCTGACTTTCAGAGGTTCAGCCAGTTGAGGGGACAGGCAAGAGACGGGAGAGCAGGTGGCATGAGCAGTGGGGGCCCCGGTTTGATGGGAGCTTCTTCATTACTCTGGCTTCTGCCTAAGTTGCAGTCCAGAGGCCTCCCTCTATGGGCCACAGGTCTCAGCAGGCCCTGGCAATGCCACTTCCTCACCCTGCCTTCCTTCCAAGTGAAGGTGGTCAGCTTTCCTCTGGGGCCAAGCCCTGGGTTGGTTTCCCCATCCCTTGTCAGTTCCCTGCCCTGTCCACAAGCCCTTAAGCTCTCTTCTCAGTTACACCACAGGGTAGAGACCCTGACTACTGTACCCTGCTTCTTACACAAAAAGTAGACATCACAACCACGGCAGTCACTTGCTTTCTACATGGTCACCATCTCCTGGGAGGCCCCGGGCATTTCAGTCTCTACTAGGACCCTTCAAAGCATTTTCCATTTCATTCCCTCATCAACAGTTTAGGCTGGGCAGAGCAGTCATCATAATCCCCAAGGGAAATGTGGGGAAACTGAGGCCCAGAGGGGGATGGGAGCTTGCCCAAGGGCATACAGCTATAAGGAATGATTGAGACTTGTGTCAGGGGTGCCTAGCCCTGCTTGCTCCCGGCCTCCAGGAGCTTACCAAGGACTGAGATGGATGGGGAAGTGTGGCCCAGAGAGGGAAAGGAAGTTGCTCAAGGTCACACAGTGAGTCTGCCATAAAGCAGGACTACTATGGGCGTCTTGGTTGCTGGTCAGATGCTCCTACCCCAGGAGGTCAAGACCACACCTGATTACATCTAACAATCAGAATCCCTGGCCACCTGGGGCCCCGGTCTCTTTGGCTGCCCCCCGAGATGGGAGCTCTTCAGCCCAGCCTCAAACCCGCCAAGCCTGTTCCCCACTCTGCATCTGCACTTTGGGACCTACCCAGGAAGATGGGGCTATGGAAAGACAGGGCGAGAAGAGACTTTCTGAGGGGCTGTCCAGTCTTTGGGCCCCTGCTCCCCCACCCAGGAGGGCCCAGCTCACCGTGCCCAGGCTGCAGGAGAACTGGCCCAGGAAGTCATGCTCATCCAGCCGCATACTGGACTTGTCCTGGTCAAAGAGCGCGAACTTGAGCTTTTGTACCTCCTCAAAGTGATAGTCAAGCACGAACTTCTTGGAGAAGGCGGGGTTGAGGTTGTTGATCGCGGTTTCTGTCCTGTCGTACTAGCAGAGGGGCAGGGAAATGGAAGTCAGAGTGAAGGCAGCTGGTCCAAGCCCTTGCAGGCTGCTGGAAATCATTCTGCTAACTTGTACAACGCCTACTCTGTGCCAGGCTCTCGTGGCCATGGTCTGTAACTCACTACCCTCAGCTCACAGACGAGGACGCTGAAGCACAGAGAGGTTAAGTGACTTCCCCAAGGTTGGACAGCAGGGCCGAGATTTGAAACCGAGGTCTGACTCTACTACCCACACTCTTAATTCTTCGGTCCTGGTTCCATACCCAGGTGCCAGGGTAAGGGCTCGGGCCCTGCCCTGTCTGGGTAAGAGATGGAGGACACAAGGCCCTTTCCCCACCTTTGCCTCAGTTTCCGCCTCTGTAAAGGGAAAGGATTTGACTACCTGTGGTTTTCACTTTTTATTTTGGGAAAACCCCTTTTTCAAACCACATTTTACATGGAAACTGAGAAAGGAAACAAAAAGAAGGGAGGATTCTTGTGGGGAGGTGGGGTCAGGGACTCCCCACGGGGGTGCAGGGAGATGTTTGTGTCTTGTATAGAATCCTGACACTGTGCAGCCCAACACCCCACCTACTGTGGATACCAAAGCCTGGCTGAGGACAGGGCCTTGTACTGTGGGTCAGCAGTGGCACTGGGACAGGAAACCCGCCTCCTGGCCTCTGGATGCTGAGGCCCCAAACCGCGGAGTCTGGGTGACAGTCTATTTTGGGGCCCAGGCTGTGTTGACTTTTCCTCCCACCCAGTCCATTTCCAAGGGCTGGAGCAGCAGGCACTGAGGAAGTCTTGGCCCTGGGCTATGTTTAGCCAGGGTGGCTGGCCTGGGTGGGGGCAGAGGTTGTCAGGGAGGGTGGGGGGTGTGCCATGAGTCAGGGGGATGCCACTCCCTGAGGGGCACTCAGAGGTTCTAGAGACCTGGCAGAGGGGAACTGTGCCCCCAGACACACCTCTCACAGGCCTGGGGCTCCCCCAGGAGTCCTCAGCTGGCCCCATGTCCCACCTCCCACTTCCAGTTATACCATCAACACGCTGGGTGACACGAAAAGGTCCCTCCCCACTCTGGGGCCCCTGTATCCCCCTCTGTAAAGTGGGTCAACAATCCCACACTGTTTTCTTGGCATCACAAGAAGGAGCCAACATCCATGGGAACTCTTTGTAAACCACAGTATGTTCAGGTGAACTCCCACCGTGGCCTAGTTAAATATCCATTAGAAAGTACACACATCTTTTGGGAAATACACATGCATATAAAGCCATCTGGAAGGCTGGATACCAAACTGTTAACAGTGGTTCTGTATGACAGGTGGGTTCCCAACAATTTTGATTTTCTCCTTTGGGTTTATCTGGATTCTCTACATTTACTCCAATAGTTTCCTTCTGCAAAAGCAAAGTTTTAAAACCCGAAGGTCTTCACAGCTTAGGTTTCTCAACATCCTTCCTCAAGCTGCAACTCTTTCCAACCTTCAAGCCAAAGTCTTCCAGCTCAGAAGTCTTTGCCTGGGGCACCAGTAATATCTCCAGATCTGGGCCTTCCAAGGGAGTCAGCAGAAAAAAATATATAATAATTTCACAGATGAGGAGACAGGGACAGCCACTTGCTTAAGGCCACACAGCAGGGAGTAGCATCACTGGGCCTTGGACCAGCTCCCAAAGCCTGAGCTCACTGTTTCTCTGTTTCTTACTGACCATGTGTTCATTTAGAAATAATAGGGAAAGGTTATTTAAAAGTGGAAGCAAACATTTTGTAAAACTATAAAATTTTAACTATATAACAATTTATAACAAGATGGGGTGTGGTGGTTCATGCCTGTAATCCCAGCACTTTGGGAGGCTGAGGCGGGTGGATTGCTTGAGGTCAGGAGTTCAAGACCAGCCTGGCCAACATGATGAAACCCCATGTCTCTACTAAAAATACAAAAATTAGCTGGGCGTGGTGGTGCACACCTGTAGCCCCAGCTACTCGGGAGGCTGAGGCAGGAGAATCGCTTGAGCTGGGAGGCAGAGGTTGCAGTGAGCTGAGATCTCACCACTGCACTTCAGCCTGGGGGACAGAGAGAGATTCCGTCTCAAAAAAAAAAAAAAAAAAAAAAAGAGATATCAAATAATCAACATAAAGTATATAATTATAAATCTATAGATTTTAATTGTAATAAACACAAAGTAATATTTTAAATATATTTAAAACAAAATTTTATTTTAAGAGTAACAGTTTACCAAGTAATCCCCTGCCACCAGCCCACACTCCAAATACTTCTATTGGAGTCCCTGGATCCCAGTCCTGGGAGACTCCCCCTCCCCAGCAGCCTAGCCACCCCCTTACCCACTGCAGATACACGGAAGAGCCTCACCTCGATCCATCTGCCATTGTTCTCTGTAAAGAGGACACAGAAGGGGTCAGACTTGGAGGTAACATCCCGGTCCAGTAGGTTCTGGCCACTCACCGACAGCTCCACCTTGCACACGCAATACTGGGGACCCATGGGGGCTGCCCCCACTGCTGGGGCACCCCCACTGGGTATGTGGGCCATGGGAGCCGGTGGCGGTGGCAGGAGTTCCTGGCAGTCTAGGAGAACAGGAGTGAGGGTCAGAAAGTGGACAGACACCTGCTATGCTGCCCCACCATAGAGAGGCATTACCACTTGGCCTTTAAGAGGTGAATGGAGAGATGGAAGGCAAATTGAGGCGGGTTGTCAAATAACATGGGCAAAGGTTTGGAGAAAGAAGAATGCAAGGAAATGCATGAAAAGGGAGTCTGAGCTAAGCGCAGTGGCTCACACCTATAATCTCAGCACTTGGGGAGGTCAGGTGTCTGGAAACCTGGAGTTCAAGACCAGCCTGACAACAAGGGGGATCATGTCTCTGCATAAAATAATAAAAAATCAGCCAGACATGGTGGCGCGTGCCTGTGGTCCCAGCTACTTGGGAGGCTGAGGCAGGAGGATTGCTTGAGACTAGGAGTTCAAGGTTGCAGTGAGCTGTGATTGCACGTTACTGCACTCCAGCCTGGGTGACAGAATAAAACCATCTAAAAAAAATAAGAAAGAAAGAAAGAAAGAAAGAGAGAGAGAAGGAGAGAGAAAAGAAAAAAGAGTCTGTGTCTCTGGTAGATGTGTTAAATTTGTCTTTGAAGTTTTTCTCTGCTGTGGTCAGTCTTCACCTGTAAGGATGCACAGCTCCTTGTGTGTTGCCCCTATCACATGAGCAACAAATCACAGGGGACATGGGTGTCTCAGATACTCGTTGTGCCAGGAAAACCTGGGCTTCTCCTGAGCAACTAACATGTTGTCATGTGCCTTGTGGCCACAGTAGAGCTGACAACTGCTCAGACTTCTCTCATTGCTTTGACCACTAGGAAGCTCACTTCTGGGACCATCAGAGGCATTTAAACCAGAGCAAATCCATCTTGAATGGGAGCTGGGTAAAATAAGGCTGAAACCTACTGGGCTGCATTCCTAGATGATTAGGCATTCTGGGTCACAGGATGAGATAGGAGGTCAGCACAAGATACAGGTCATAAAGACACTGCTGATAAAACAGGCTGCAGGAAAGAAGCCAGCACCAAAACCAAGACGGCCACAGAGTGACCTCTGGTCGTCCTCACTGCTACACTTCCACCAGCGCCATGACAGTTTACAAATGCTATGGCAACATCAGGAAGTTGCCCTATATGGTCTAAAAAGGAGAGGCATGAATAATCTGCCACTCGTTTAGCGTATCATTAAGAAATAACCATAAACATGGGCAACCAGCAGCCCTTGGGGTCGCTCTATGGAGTAGCGATTCTTTTATTCCTTTACTTTTTTTTTGAGACGGAGTCTGGCTCTGTCACCCAGTCTGAAGTGCAGTGGCGTGATGTTGGCTCACTTCAACCTCCGCCTCCTGGGTTCAAGCAATTCTGCCTCAGCCTCCCGAGTAGCTGGGACTACAGGCACCTGTGACCACGCAAAGGTAATTTTTGTATTTTTAGTAGAGACGAGGTTTCACCACGTTGACCAGGCTGGTCTCAAACTCCCAACCTCAGGTGATCCACCCGCCTGGGTCTCCCGAAGTGCTGGGATTACAGGCATGAGCCACCGCGCCTGGCTATTCCTTTACTTTTTTAATAAACTTGCTTTCACTTTATGGACTCGCCCTGAATTCCTTCTTGCACAAGATCCAAGAACCTTCTCTTGGGGTCTGGATCGGGACCCCTTTCCTGTAACAGTAACATTAAAAAGTCACCCTTATTCATTGTCCACCCTGTATCTCCAGTTCGTACACAGTGACTGGTGCACAGGAAGTATCCAGTATATATTTGCTGAATGAAAAAAGGATGAGTATATAAATGAATGAATGGACAAACCCTCCATATGCCTCAGATCCTGCCAGCATTGGTCCTTATCTTCAACATACAATTCACCCTTTCACTCATACACGATTTCCCAAAATTCTGTGCCCTGGGCCTCAGGTATCCTCCTCCTGTCAAGATTAATTACTGACATGTGATCACTCGAAGGAGTTCTGTTCTCCTTTGAGTACAAGGTATTAGTGAGAGTGGAGCAAAGGGGTGGAGGGGACCTAGGTCACACCCATCACAGGCCCAGCAGACAAGTCCTCTGGGTCTCTCTGGCTCAGTGTCCCATCTGCCCATGAGACATCAGGACACAGCCCTCTGAGTCTCCTATGGGTCACGTCTCATTTCCACTGGCACGTGTACATTTAACACTGGCCCCGTCATCCCAGTGGTTGAACCTAGCCCCTAAACACTTACCCGACAATGGCCAGGTTCCAACTCCCTGACTAATACTTTGTCCTCTTGAGGCTAAGTGGTTTACTGACCCTGCACTTCTCCAGTGGAGGGAGGTAAGTGGACACAAATCCAAGTCACTGCGCTTGTGAGCACTAATTGAGCATGTCACCTGCACAATGTCGCTAATCTTCATTCAGTCTTACGAGGCAAGTATAGTAATATCACCCTTATTTTCCAGAGGAGGAAACTGAGGCTTTCATTCACTCTAGAGGGTGTACTGAGCATCTATTAGGTCCCAAGAACTGTCCCAGTGCTGGGAATGCTACAGTAAGAAGACTGCTCTTGGCCGGGCATGGTGGGTTCACGCCTGTAATCCCAGCACTTTGGGAGGCGCAGGCAGGTAGATCACTTGAGGTCAGGAGTTCAAGACCAGCCTGGCCAACATGGTGAAACCCCGTCTCTACTAAAAGTACAAAAAATAGCCAGCATGGTGGCGTGCACCTGTAGTCCCAGCTACTTGGGAGGCTGAGGCAGGAGAATCGCTTGAACCTGGGAGGTGGAGGTTGTAGTGAGCTGAGATGGCGCCACCACACTCCAGCCTAAGCAAGACATTGTCTCAAAAAAAAAAAAAAAAAAAAAAAAAAAGACTGCTCTGTCTTAGCCCCTATAGGGCTCACAGTCCAGTCTGGCAGGAACACAGTGAGGGAGCAGGGAGAGCGGCCAGGAACTGCAGGAGCTGTGGGCTCTGATAGGGTGTCTGAGTTTCATTCTGAGAGTGATGGGAAGTCTTAGAAGCAGAGAAATGACATGATCTGATTTGTGTTTTTAAAAGCTTACTCGGCCCCTTGTGGGGAGAAGGGGTTGTCAAGCTAAGGAGAGGTAGCAGAGAGACTAGCGAGGAGGCAGCTGCTGCCCTCTAGGCAGGAAGGAGTGGCAGGAAGGATCAAGCCTCCATCACTATGCTGGGTCCACTCCTCCTCCCTTTCACCCACGCCCCGGGGCAACTCCGGAGCGCCAGCCTCTTGCTGGGCAGGTGCAGTCCCCTGCAAGCCCCGGTCTGCAGGAGGTCAGGGTGAGAGTGGGGCTGGCAGCGGAGACCTCCCAGCTTCCCCTCCAGATCCAGTGCTCCCCGGACATGCCTGGCAGGGGAAAAATCTGGACAATGATGAAGCTGGTCCTCAGCCCCCTCCCTCCCAGCCTTTGTTCCTAGAACCTTGTTATAATCACACAAGCTCAGAGCGTCGGGACAGCACTACAATTTGCCTGCAGGATTTATTCTTGTCGTGTAAAAATCAGTTTCCACTGGAGGAGCTGGTGAACTGCGTTCACTCTTTTTTTTTTTTTTTTTTTTTTTTTTTGAGACGGAGTCTCACGCTGTTGCCCAGGCTGGAGTGCAGTGGCGCGATCTCGGCTCACTGCAAGCTCCGCCTCCCGGGTTCCCGCCATTCTCCTGCCTCAGCCTCCCGAGTAGCTGGGACTACAGGCGCCCGCCACCGCGCCCGGCTAATTTTTTGTATTTTTAGTAGAGACGGGGTTTCACTGTGGTCTCGATCTCCTGACCTTGTGATCCGCCCGCCTCGGCCTCCCAAAGTGCTGGGATTACAGGCTTGAGCCACCGCGCCCGGCCCGTTCACTCTTACTGTGTGCAACTGGGCAGTTGTGCCAAGTGGGGGTGGGTGGGGAAGGGGGCAGACAGGGATGTCCAAAACCTTGCTGTGTGGCTGAGAGCGCCTGCCTATGCCTGCAGGACAATCGCTCCCATTTTAGAGATGAGGAAACTGAGGCCTAGAGAGTAAAAGTCACTTGCTTGAGGTTACAGGGCCAGGAAAAGGCAGAGACAGAGCGTGAATCAGGTCTCCAGACTCCCAGCCAATGCTTGGCCTTTTGCCAGGGTGGGGAGATTGCTGAACATTGTGGGACCAAGGCAGGGACAGCCAGGACATCAGCCAGGCCAGGGGAGCCTGAGGCTAAGCGGGCAGGTTGTGATCAGGGCTGGGGAAGCCAAGGGCATTCTCCCATTTGAACACACACCCAGGATGGGCCCCAGAGTATCCAAGGTCACCAGTTCCTCTGGGTCACCCTGTCCACACTCCTGCATCTCCCACCATGGCTGGCGAGGTAGATTCTAGCTCACCTACCCCTTCCCCACTTCACAGGCCCCCTCTGTGACATGTTAGATGCCACCTAGGCCACCATCCCCTGCTGCCAAATCAGACACTTCTATTCTCATCCTGAGGGTGTCAGGCAAACACGCCCAGATTCACGTGCTTCCTTGTCCATTTACACGTGTGTGGTCACATATACACACATACACACACATACACATATGCACCCAGACTGACAAATATAATGACAGATGCTCATATGAACACTCTGGGGTCACCTCATTCTATCCCCCTCACTACCCTACCCCCAGCCCCCTGCCTCGTCCAAGCCCCATTATCTTGCCTTGGTTACTACACCAGCCTCCTGCCCTTCCCTCCCTCCAGCCTGACTGAGGGCGTGGGCAGGAGGGACAGGTCACGGGGGTAGGGGGCGGTGGCTGGGCCAGGAGCCCCCAGTTCACTGCAACTCCACCTGGATCAACTCAGGCCCTAGCTAGAGCGAGCGATGGGTGGGTGGAAAGGGAACTCCTCCCCCAGCCAGTGGCAGGCCCTCCCATCTCTAACTCACCCTCCGGCTGGAAGCTTCTGGATACCCGAAACGGGGAGCACATGATGTCTGGAGTTGGGGCAGGCGAGGGGAAGAGTGGGTCCCTCTGCGCCAGCCCAGCAGCAGCCAGGCGTACTGGACCCTGAGGCCTGACGCAATGGAAAAAGAAACTACAGCTTAGG